GAAAGCCTCTGACTTTTGTGTGTTGATTTTATAACCTCTAGCAGATATTTTTAACCTCTGCACATGGCAGTCTGTTTTACTTTGGATGCCTTCATAAACTGAGAAATCATAACCCTGAAGAATAAGGTCTGTTGTTTATTCTGAAAGATATTTCCAGAATCAGGCAGTTTCATAATGATGGAAGGAGAGTGAGGGAATGGAAGAAGAATTTGAAACTACTTTTGCCACTGAGAAGTTCAGTTTTACATACTTAGCACTCTTCGCTTTCATATTCCTTCCCAAATTTTGGAAAACCTGTATCTGTGTTAAAAAGTCAAATTAGGCCCTCCCTGGTGGCACAGCGGGTTAAAGCACAGCACTAAGAAGCTAAAGCCACTTCAGCATGAGTTTGATCCCTGCCACAGCGGTGATCCACGTGGCACGGCAGACCTTCCTGACCTACCCGCTGCTCCCCTCAGCAGTGTACTTCATTTATCTGCTGTTTCTGCTCCCGACTCTGTCTTTGTAGAGTCCTCTCACCTCCCTGCACCTCTGGCCTGTACCCCAGTTCTATATGCAAAAATAAATGAAGGGTGGTGGTGGGGGTCAGCTTAAATATGCCAAATTTTTGTTATCTAGCTCTCAGTGGTTGACCTTCCTGAAGATAATTTTGAGCATAAATATGTTTCTTAAATGTTATTTGTATTCTTGTAATGTCCTTCTACAGAGCAGAGTGGCCAAAAGAACAGTTTATTCCGTCCTATGTTCCACGATTCCGCAATGGCTGGGAGCCACCACTGCTGCATTTCATGGGACCACCAGTGGAACAAGACCTTTATCAAATGACTGAGCCTGTGGCAAATGTGACAGAACATCAGTTCAAACATGAAACAAAAAGATCATCCCCAGAGGTAAAATGTTTTCTAACATTCCCTTTTGTATGAAATGCAGTGACTCTGCATCCTCTTCTCATTCTGATTGTGAATTGTCATTTATTTGCTTGTAAGAGTGTTTTAGAAGCAGTGATTGTCCTGCTGCTCTGAACTACCTGTCACCTCTTTGTCACTATTTTGACATTTGCTCTATTTCCCTTTCAAGCCCAGCCCCAGTACGTGTCATTCCTGACTGCTTCATCGCTGCTTCACTGTCTTGACTCACCAAGCCTCGACAACCCTTTCTATTTGAGCAAATGCTTCCTTTGTTTGTCTGGGAATTGTCTTACTGCCATTTTCTTTCCCACCTGTCAGGCTTTCAGGATGGTTCCCCGAGTCCAGGTTCTCTAAGCCTATCACATTTTTTCCCTCAGTGCACATTTCTGTTTTATTTTTGCCCTGTTCTTAACCTCTAGCTTTCTGTCAGCACTGCTCTAAGGTCATGGCTTCTCTCGGACAGCACACCGAGACTCAAATGATCACTTATAATGTTATCACTCCCAAGGAGTCCAGAGCATTTATTGTCTTTGAAGCATTTAGTAAGATTTAGAGTACAACCTATTTGGGGAACAAGTTTGAAGAATTGAGGTTGGGTATGCTATTTCCTCACTTTTCTGTAAAAGTGATTTTTCTGTGATTCATCTTGTACTATCAAGGAAAAAAAAGAGCACCACTTAAGCTGTCACTTGCTTCAGCTCTGTTGAATCAAACCAAATATGATGATCAACTTGAGTGTGGTTTAGTTTGAAGAAGAGACAGTAAATGATGACTCCTTGATTTCCTGCTCAATTTCTTTATTTAACCCCATAAACTTGTTTTCTCAAACTACAGTAGGTATTCAAATATGGCAAAATGATAGAATGACCAGCAAACCTGAATAAATCCTCACTTTTTAGGAGAAACATTTATGTAAATTAAATTTCCTTAAATTGTTCTCTTGTGCAATAGTTATAATATTATAGTCAATTAGTTCAATTCTGAAACATTAAACATATGTACACTGCTTTGAAAACTTTATTCTAAAGTAATTGTTTTTTTGACTGACAACATATCTGGGTTGAGGGAGATTATGTAATTATCTTTCCCTCTTAATTATCTTCCCTCTTAATGAGTGACCTCATAACTCTGTAGAATGGTTGGCAGACTTATCTCCTATCTGTATTTTATAGCTTAAATCTTATCACTATGAATTTTCTTCCCTTGTAGAGGGCAACTTTTATATAGAACAAAATAATTAAACATGAAATTGATATACTTGCTATTGCTATTGTTACAGCTATTTTCAAATTACTGAAATTTCTAGCTTACAGTCTTCATATCTTGAATAAGAAAATATTCCTATTATGTATGCCTCAGAAACTCAATCTTATGAGTTCTTTTTCAATTTGTATGTTTAAAGAGAGAGTAATGTGAATGTGTCCTGAGCTCCCAATGTAAAAGTTTGCTCTTACTGACTAAGTAACTGGAAGAGAGGAATTATTGAGATGCCTTTGTAATAAGCTACCATTTTCCTGTTGTAAACCACTTTCCACTTTATGGCTTAGAGTTTTAAAGCAGAATGAAATGATAAGTTCCCCCGGTAGTTCTAGGGGATTTTATGCCTCAAGATTTTGTTGGAAAGAGTATGATAAATGCATAAAAATTGCAGTCATCCTCAGAAGAGAGATTTTATTACACTTCATTGCTGCTATAATAAATACACTCAAAACAAGAATTGGTGATTCAGGATTGTGGTTTTGTTTAGAACTGAGAGGCTTGGTGACATGGAGTGACAGTGTGGCAATCCTCGGCTTTGCCCACTTCTTCTGAGCAGCAGCTGCCCCAAACAAGGTTGTGTCGCCATCACCCTTAGCTATTTGTGGTTGGTCTCTTCCCTGTCTGTGCTCCCAGCTGCTCCCGGGACTCAGTGACCGCAGACTCCTGCTTCCCCCTGTTACATTCAGCTAGGCGTAACAGCCTCTAATAAAAATTTGCCAGATCATCTAGAGGCTCTAATCTCTTTAAGGGAAAATGATAAACTAAATTAATTAATCTATTTTACTTTAGCTTTATTGAGGCATTATTGACAAAGTTACAGGGTACGAGTGTACATCCCGATGATTCAGTAGATGTACATGGTTGAAAGGACTCCCCTCGCCCTTTAGCTTACACGTTCACACATCAGCTGCTTCACATGTTTAACTTTGTTTTGGTCAGAAAGTGTTTTTAGGTCCTCAGATCTTATTAACTTAAGACTGAAAGTTTGTAACCTTATACCAATCTATCTCTATTTCTCCCATCCCTTTGCAATCATTTTCTTAAAAAGTTTAACTTTTTTATTAGCTTCCACATATAAATGCTACCATGTAGTACTGTTTTTCTCAGTATGGTTTATTTCACTAAGTGTCATGGCGTCAGATCCATTCACATTGCTGGAAATGACTGGATTTCTTCTTTCGCATGACAACTTCTATTGTGTGTGTGTGTGTGTGTGTGTGTGTATTGTTATCCATTCATCTGCTGTTGGACATTTAGGTTGTTTCCACACCGTCACTATTGTGAACAATACTGCAGTAAACTTGGGTGTAGATATCTCTTTGAGCTCTTAATATTATTTCATTCAGTAATATACCTTTTAGTAGGACTACTGGATGGTATGGTGGTTCTGGTTTCCATAGTGATTGTACCACAATTTGCACTCTCATAAAGAGTGGCCAAGGCTTCCTTTTCTCTATACGACACCAGCACCATTACCTACACTTTTTTTTTTAATTGCCATCCTTAACAGGTATGAGGTGCTAGCTCATTGTGATTTTGATTTGTGTATTTGTAGCTATAGCAACAGCAAGTGTAATTGATTGATAATGCTGAGCATCTTTTTATGTACCTATTGGCCATTTGTGTATCATCTGTAGAAGTCAGGTATTCACTTATCCCCACGAGGCCCACAGTTTTATTCAACTGTGTGATTTTATTCAACTTTTGTGCATGAATTCATTGTATATTTTGAATATTCAAACCTTACCACATACATGATTACCAGATATTTTTCCCTGTTGTGTAAGTTGCATATCACTTTGTTGAATGTTTAAGCTAAGGTGTTTAAGTTGTTCATTTGTCTTGTGATAAGTGCAGTATCCTGACCTATATTCCAGAGGAGGATACAATGTACATTGACACCAAAATTGGTTGGTGGATAAACTTAGCCCTGCTCCTGCCAACTTGGCATTAGAATTATCTATAACAGTGTGTCTAATGTTTTGCTAAAACACACCCAGTTTCAAGTATTTTGCTGTAATGTATCAATAAACAGTCAAAATATTTAAGAGAATTCCAATAATTCAGGGTCCACTGTGTATCCCCTGTACTTTTATTTTGTGTAAGAAAATACTATAAAATCTATAGGTGCTATTTGTGTTTGTTTTTCCCCCCAATAGACCTAAAACTACAGTGTTCACTGAGACCCACAGACCTCAGCCTTTCCTATTCAGAGCAGCTAGAAGGCTCATGTCCAGATATATAACCTGCCAAAAGAAATGACTACAACATTTTCTTTCCTGAGTGTCCAGATCAATGTGTATCTGCTTTTCTGTGTCTCACCTATTAGTAAATCTGATGATAAAGCTGCCATATTAAAAAAAAAAGTGCCTGTATACATTTAAAAAATAGAAAATAAGCATGAGAGGGTAGTATAATTTTAATATACTGAGTTCAGGTGATTTTTCATGTGATTGTGTTTACTTTGCTAGAGTGTTGTGACAGGAACTTTGTTGCCACTTTGCAGTGGACTGTAATTAGGGACACAGCAGTTGTGGAACAGGTTTGCAATGCACTTGAGCAGAAGTTCTTGAGCCATTTATTGAAAGCATACAGGCTAGTAAAAGCTGATCATGTCACAGTGATATGAAGTATAAGGTCCAGAGGGCGCAATAGGAATGGGGGACAAAGTTTTACAAAGGACAGGGAAGGGGTCATAGTGACCATATGTCAAGAGCCATTTGTATCACCAAAATATGATATTATTACAGGCAGAGTTACCTGAGACACCATGGACACAGTCATGTAATCAGGCCAACAACCTAGGCGTTCCCAGGCCTGCCTTGAGATAAGGCTATCCTCCGTAGATAGTCAAGGAATGCTCTGCTGTCATTAGCAGTTAGGTCACAGTTACCCATGAATGGTCAGTTAGTAGCCAGCTCACAGGAACCTACATATCCCTCCATTCTATTATAGTGGGTGAGAGGAAGAGCTGGGGGAAATGGAGAGTGGTCTGGCAGATCATCATGACTTGTCGGCAGTTCCGTGATTGTATGTAGAAGTGGCACAAATGTGCTGTGGCACGATGGAGGATAAATGGAGTCCATAGAGCTTGTTGTTGTTGACTCTGGAGTCCAGAGGGCTGAGTGATGTTTACCAAACCAGGTAGAGCAGTCTCAAGGGTGTCAGGTCTTGACTCTGCAAGACTGCACTGTCCTTGGGGAAGAGATCCATCCTAGGTGAATCACTAATAGCTGAGCTCTGGGGTAGGATTGGTCTTGCTTTCATGTCAGCTCATGAAAGGACAGTACTGCTTTCTCTAGAACTCAAGAATGTCTTGTGGGTGACAAAACAGAAATATACCCTCTCCCTCATATTAAAAGTTCTACAGGTTTCAGTGAAGTTGGTTCTGTAGTAGGTGGCCATCCAAGACCAAGGGTCTAAGGCCTGGTTCTGCTGGGATAAAGTGTTGTTATACTGCTGTGGGGCCAGAAGAATTAGGCATGAAATGTTGCTCAACACTTGTTAGACTAGTGGAATGACAATTTAATATGCTAAAAGTAAGTAAAGCTTTGTGTATTTGTTGCTATGGGAGCAAGTTACTCTTTATATTCCCCTGTGTTTTTGTTTTTGTTTTTGAAAGATTTATTTTTTCATACAGAACTAGGGTACAGGCCAGAGATGTGGAGCATGAGAGGATTCACCAGAGACAGAATGGAGAGCAGAGCAGGCAGGCCGACAAAAGTACACTGCTGAGGGGAGCAGCGGGCGGGCCATTAGAGGTCTGCCACGTTATGTGGATCTCCATTGGGGCAGGTGGGGATTGAACTCAATGCCGAAGTGGCATAAGCTTCATAGTGCTGTGCTTTAACCCACTGCGCCACCAGGGAGGGTCTCACTGAGATATTTTTAAAACAAAAGCCACTTTTGCTTGAGGATAATAGAAGATATAGATTTAGATTTTTTTTTTAAACAGATTGTCTATTCTAGCCTCTTATCAGAAATGTGACGTTTGGAATTTAGCTCAAAGAAAGTTGTATTTCCACTTTTATAGTTTTTTTTTTAATTTTTAATTTTAATTAACCAGGTTAATTAATTTTGATAAGAAACTTTCTAAGGCCCAATAAGCAATTTAGATGTTTTTACTCAACCAGTAAGTATTCTATAAGAAAACACAGAGAAATATAATTTTTTGCACATAGAATATATTGGACCATTATGTTAAGTAAACAGAAGGAGAGTCCAGTTTTTCCAGCTGAGGAGGAAGCAGAGACATGCCAGTGACCTCAGCACTAGAGCAAGGGTCTTGGCAGCTGTTTGTTAAGACCAAGGCAGCCCTCCACAGCCAGCTGCAGTGAGTTGGTGCTATTTTGATGAGAAACTTCCAGTCTCATGCAGTTATTTTTATACCTATTTTTTTTTATAACTTTTAACTTTTTTTTGTAAGTGAACTTTGAATATATTTTTAGAAATACTTTATTATTATTTTTAATTACTAAGAAACAACACACGGCAAACTCTTATGTCAGAGAACCTGGCTTCCTCCTCAAATAACTGGGAAAGGTTGACGCATTTTCCCTTCCAATTGTATTTTATGAAAATGATTTTTTATGAGTGGCTCCAAATCTGTTGCAGGTGGTAGTCCCACTTTTGGATCCCAGCTGCACCCTACCATGGTGCCAGCATGGGAGGGCAAGAAGGATGAGGCAGGGCAGGAGCCCCCAGGCCACATGGATGTGATATCTTTTATCCCCTTGAATAGGTCTTAGTGCTACCCACAAAGATTCTATGTGGAAGGGTGAGATATTTCCTCCCACTGGAGAATTCTATCAAAAAAAATTTTTAAATAATATAATAGGTTATTTTTACATCATTTTGTGATTTTGTGCCTTTTTTCATCTCTGTTGTAATCCTTGTGGGCTTCCCCTCACCACATCACGTGTTTCCCATCGCCATAGTCCAGTGCACCGCCCTCCCCCCCAGCCATTTTTGATCCCATTCCCCACTTCACCCCTATAAAATGTCTCTGGTATATAGCTGTTCATTATTATTATCCCCACCCCACCACCCCCCACCCCTGTCCTTTATGCTCCTGCTATGAGTGAAACCGTCTGATATTTTTCTTTTTTTTTTCCTGGCTTATTTCATTAAGCATGATTGGAAGAGTGAGATATTTCAAAGGGGCTAGCCTACTGCCTTAGCCATTGTGCTACCTTTTCCCAGTTATTTATTCTTTACCAGAATACTAGAGGCATCTCCCTGATGGTTATCAAGAAATCTTTCAACTGTTGCCTTGTTACCTTCCAGCCCTACACTTTTAAGAGCTCCTGCAATTGTTTTTTAAGTTGTTTTCCCTCATACTTTGGTGTACTTCCCATTTTGCAAGAAGTTAAACTTGTCTCCAAGATAAGTAAAGAACAAAAAAGAAAAAGATCAGCCACTTAGCATCTGACAGGATATCTGAGTGGATCTTGGGCTGGGTGGCTTGTGTTTTTTGTTTGTTTTTGGTATTGGATCTATGCCTCTTGTCACAGGGGTCTTATAAGTGCCACCTCAGATTTACTTGTGGTGCCCTTTTTTATATGGCCTCATTGGGCTCTCAGATAAAGGTGATGGTAAGCAAGAGAGAGAGAAAAACAAAACAAAACATTTGCTAGGTGAGCCTTTTCAACTTTCTTAAACATACGGCATTTGGATTTTCCAGAATTTTTTTGTAAAGAAAACATGAGGAGAGTAAGGAAGAAAAGATAGCATGCCTGCTGTATAAAAGGAAATCACAAATACTGTTTTGTCACAGACTTGAAGGTCTGTGAGGCGGTGATACAGCTGAGGCAGACATCCTATTCCTTCGCTGGGTGGAGGGATGTCTCGCAATCCATGGTCAGTACATAGCTGGTCAGTTTAGGCCAGTTGGTCACTGATGAATCCCTACTCGGGCACCACTTTGTTTTGACAGGAACCTTGTTGCCAACTTGGCGGTGGGAACACGATGAGGGACACAGCAGTTGTGTAGCAAATTTATAGGGCAAGGCTCAGCTACTTGAGCAGAAATGCTTGTGCCATTTATTGAAAGCATGCAAGCTAAGAAAAGCTGATCACGCGACAGTGGTATAAGGGAGAGGGACAGGGAAGGGGACTTTGTGACCATATGTCAAGAGCCATTTGCATCAGCAAAGTATGATGTTATCATAGGCAAAGTTGTCTGAGCCCACCAACGAGATAGTCACATAATTAGGTCAACGGTGTCCCAGGCTGCCTGGGCCTGCCTCATGATAGAGGACATACTCTAGAGATAGGTAGTCAAGAAACACTCTGCTGTGATTTGCAAATAGGTCACTCTTGCCCATGAGTGGCCAGCTAGTAGCCAGCTCATAGGAACCCACACTCCACTAGTAAAGCTCTTTCTTGAACATAGAGGACAGAGGTTCAGGGTTTTCTTATTGTTGTTTATGAACCATTTTAATTTTATACAGTATGTTAAAGTCTGCCTAATATCACTATCAGCTTTACTGAAATTCCTGAGGAAACAATATACTTGTAAGCATGGTTAGTTTTGGAATTCAGATTTAGCCTTTGAAATTACTACTTTTCTTAATATAAGTAGGTATTTGACAAAAAGGTATTGCCCCCATTTCATAGCGGCAAGGAACTTGAAAGTGAAAATGATTCCAACATAGTGGAAGTTTCTTGTTGACTGATGTCAATGCTCTCTCAAATATTTTTGGTAATTCTCTCCTCTCTCTCCCTGTCTTTCAGCAGTCCAGTATGGCAGAGTATCCTCCAGCTGATGGGTACACACTCAATAACTTTTACACAAGAGGACCCCAACTGGACCAAGGAGAAGCCGCTGTTGCTTTTAAGCCAATGCCCAGTCGCCATGTAGATAGGTAACATTTCATGCTCAGTGGATAACTGACTCTGGTTTAGTGCAAATCACTAAACCAGAGTCATTGCTCACTGCTTCTTTAAACGTTCCATCTGTTCTTTGTTTGGTAAAGTGCTATTGTGCCTTTAGAGAACTGGTTTTGATGAACAAAAGATGTCTGGATGTCCACTCTGTGATTCTAACAATGCAGTGCCTTTGGATGACTCCCCAAAAGAGGCTTCTGACAAAAATCTGTGAATTAGAATAAAGAAGAATTGTTCGAAGCTGTTAGTTTGTAACAGATGGTCTCTAAAGATCCTTCCCTTTGTGTAAGGCTTAAAGGCTTCTATCTTTATCTTACCAAAAAAAAAAAAAATCCTTCCTTTAGTTAGAAATAATTCAAAAAACATAAACTAAATACTTAAAGAGTGAGTTATTTTCACTTTCCAGTTTAGTTAGTGCACATTTATTTTCTAATATTTTCACTCTAAGAAATTTCATCTTAGAAAAGCAAAGGGGATGAATTGTGATAGGGGAAAAATAAAGGAATTTTAATAGACACATTTTTTTTACTTCATTTTCTAGCCACTACAGTTGAGGTTTATACAGTGGCCAACCCACGTACATATGCAAGAAAGAGAAGGAGGCACAGTGATGTGGGAAAATGACCCTTTAGATGAATTGGAGTTTAGCCTGGTGATCGCCTACTTCGCCTACTTCAGCACCAGTGTTGCAGGCCCTCTACATATTGTTTATATGTTCTTGGAAGAATCTGAAATAGATGGAATTTTTTAAAAATTGGGAGGGGTCAGTAATAGTGACAGAGATAATACTCTAAGGGTGCCAGTAGCAAGTTAAAATTGTGTACAAAAAGAAGGCAGCAATGAATAACACATTTGGGAAACACCAGCATATAAAATAAGTTTTCATTATAGATTCAATTTTGAGTAGATGTGAAAATCAGTAGATTAACTTGTTACTAATATTTTCTTTTTCCTTTTCTTCTGTTTTAGATGACAGTATTCTAGAAATCAGATTAATATTTCTTAACTTTCTTGTTGTCCCATCACTTCAGTAAATCAAAATTTTTTTTTACAGTTGAATAACTAGAAAACCACTGGGGTACATTTCTTATGTCTGTGCAGAGCTATAGTACATATTGATGCTAGAAAACTTTTATCATATTCTGTCTTAAGACCCCAGCTAGTACAATGCGGTCACCCAGTGTTTGTCAATTTATTTGATTGATTTACTGAGGACTGAATAGGTGATAGTGCGCCCGGCATTCCGGACTCACCACCTTTCTGGCCTTTGCCCATGGATCTTAAGGTATAACATTGTTGATGGCAAAACCTTTGCCATTTATTTTTGGAAGCTTACTATAGTCTTTAAAAATTTTACCTTGATCTGTACAGAATGTCAGAGATTTAGTTATATGTTTGTACCGCATTCCAAAAAGGAATTCCGACAGGGATTCAGTCAGTTCATTTAATGTAATGCACTATAAAATAATATTAATCTGTAAATGAAATAAAGTATAAAATTAAGAAACATGAGTGAGGATAAGAACTTTTTTCTGTTTGCTTCTTTAGCTTTACTTTTTGAGATATAATTGACCTTTAATATTACAGTTGTTTTATATATTATGAAATGATCCCCCCATGTCCAGATATTTTTATCCATACCTAGTTTTTTCCCTTGTTTTCAGATTTTTTTTTAAGATTTATTTATTTATTCATAGAGAACTGGGGTACAGGCCAGTGATGTGGAGGGTGAGAGGCTTCACCAGAGACAGAGTGGGGAGCAGAACAGGCCGATCGACAAAGTACACTGCTGAGGGGAGCAGCAGGCGGGTCAGGAGAGGTCTGCCACACCATGTGGTCACCTTTGGGGGTAGGCAGGGATCGAACTCATGCGGAAGTGGCTTAAGGTTCTTTGTGCTGTGCTTTTAACCCACTGTGCCACCCGGGAGGGCCTGTTATCAGACTTTTAAGATTTATTGTCTGCTAAGAAAGTTGCAACACTTCCAAATATTCATTACATTGTTATTAACAATAGTTGCCATGCATGTTTTTTATTCCTTTGACTAATTTTTTATTCATATAAGAACTGGGGTACAGACCAGAGAGCATTCACCAGGAACAGAGTGGGGAGCAGAACAGGCAGATCTGAAATACCTGCTGAAGGGAACAATGGGTGAAACAGGAGAGGTCCGCCAGGCCATATGGGTCAGCTTCCTGGCTGGGGATGGAATTCATTCAGTGGCTGGCTATAGCTTGATAGTGCTGAGACGTTAACCCCTGCACCACCAGTGAGACCCTGTAGCCAATTTTTTATACAGCTAGTAGCTTGCACCATTTGGCTTCTACTAGCCTCTGTTTACCACCAGTCTATTCTCTTTATCAGTGAGGTGGGATTTTCTTTTTTTTTTTAGAATCCACATAAAAGTGAGATTGTACATTGGTTTAATTCCTCTAACTTATTTCATTCAACATAAGGTCCTAAAGGTCCATCCATGTTTTCGCAAATGTCAAGATTTCCTTCTTTTGTGACTGAACGATATCTGATACACATAGACCCACACACATAAAACACATGAAACTGCGACCATACATGTTCATACATTCTAGATCGCTCGTGTAATTTTGGTCCATCTGAATAATTTCAAAATGAGATTTTCAGAGCAGAAGCTATGGTGATCAGTGTTAGATTTAAGTTTAGTATAGAATGAACTACAAATCTGTACATTGTAAAGCACTTTATAAATGTGTACTAGGCAGTCATTTTGACACATGCAAGAGAGCAAAAACTTCAGAGATCTGTTAACAAACCTTAACGGTGGCAGTTACTCTGCCTTTATTACAATGCATTCAGTTCTATATAACTAGCAGTGATTGTATTCCAGGTCAAAAGAGAGAGAGGAACATGATGGAAAAGAGAAAGAAAACTGAAAGCACTGCTTTCCAACTTCTCATTGCTTTTTGAATCTTTTATCCCCCTCCCAGCAGTGAAGATCTAAGGATATAGGGGTGTGAAATCTGTGGGATAAGGTTTAGGTTCTTGATACAATATAATGACTATTTGACATGATATAATGACTTTTTCTTGTTTAAACGCAGCCCTGCTAGCTAGCAGGTATCATAGCTGCTTGTCATCTTTTTGCCTGGCCCAGCAACCTCTTCTCCTGGAGGTGCTGTGTGACAGGTAGCACATTGTATCCACAGTCCCCCTGCAGGTCCTGCTGTGGCTCATGTGTGGAGGGGCAAGAGGGCTCACCAAAGACAGAGTGGCGAGCAGAACAGGCAGGTTTAGTGAAACACACTGCCCAGGGGAGCAGTGTGTGAGACAGGAGAGGTCTGTGGGTAGCTCCATGGCTGGGGATCGAACTCGTGCTGCAGTGGCTGGCATGGCCTGACAGTGCTGTCTTTAACCCTTCCGCCATCCACCAGGGAGGCCCAGAATAATGGACAGGATGACCAAACTTATTAATGCCTTCCTGCTTTTCCTCTTGGAGAGATGTGGGAGGGAATGAGGGAATATCAATGAAGGAGTAATATTGGGAGTAAAATTAACAAAAACAAGTCTATGTTGTTATTTATGGAAATAAAACACTGGGACAATGTTAATATATCATCATTATTAATATATTACCATTGTTATTATATCAGGCTTTATTGTTTTATATATAAAACTATATTTTAAAATTATGTTAATGATTAGTCATTTAATGACTGAGTTTCTTGATTTTTAAACAGTTTTTAAAAAATAGTGTTCTTTATATTTAATTCTTAAACCTGTTTTTAATGCCAGTGTGAGTGTATCATGAATTAATTAGTTTGGAAATGTCTTGCTGTTGATCCATACCCTCTTGGTAATTTACATAACAGGACAAAGATTTCCTAAAAAAAAAATATTCACAATTATATATAAATATTACATAGGTACTACATGTATGTATTATACATAATTTATTGTGGAGGTTAATTACTTTGAGACAGTTCTTCAATTAGCGATATCAACACATAATTTAAATAATTACTGTGGAAATTATCTTCATGCTTTTAATGTTATAAAAAATGCTAGCATTAATCTTCTGGTTATATCATGATAGCAGTGCTAACAGAGCAGTGTGTAGTGTGTATATTTAAGGAGTTTATAACTTTACATTTAGATTAGATTAAGCAACTAGCCTTATGATTTTTGCATTCTTTATTTTTGTCCTAACCATAGTGAGTTAATTTTAATAAGAAAATCAAAATTTCCTTTAGTTTTCATGTTTTATACAGTATAATCAAACTAAACTGTTCTCTAAATAATTTGTCAGAATATTTTCTGGTAGGAATTAGCTTGTCTTAATGCTTTACTTTTCTTTTTCAATCCCTTAAGAAGCGCTAATCAAAAACAATACTTTTCCTTTCATTTTATAGAAATTATGAGCCACTCAACACACAGCCCAAGAAATATGCCAAATCCAAGTATGAATTTACAGCCAGGAACAACAGTGAGCTCTCAGTTCTAAAGGATGATATCTTAGAGGTAATGGGATTTTACCTTTTTTACTCATAATAAAGTGGTGTTTTTGTATTCCTCTTTGGGTAGATACCTAAGAAATGCTGGTCAAGAAATTATTTTTCAGTATTTTTTATTTTACCAAGGAGATAGCATATTATATACAGCTCTATCTTAGCTGCTTAATCTGTTTGTTTAGCTTTTTTTGTGGGGGAGTGATGAGCTGGATTTCTTTGACTTGCTTTGTCCTCTTCCTTTTGCTGGACTCTTAATCATTTTGGAATCAAGATTTTCTGTTCAGATACAGATGCATCATATTTTAATCAGCCTTTTCTATTTTAACACTCTTCAAGTAATGTAATCAACAGTGAGTGAGTAATGGGTTGGGGAATAATCTAGTGTGACCCCCATATCTTTCTTAGGTTATAACTGAGAGTTCACCTTTTTTAATAGATAATGTGGATGGTCACAATGGTTTCTGTTAAAAAAAAGGTTTTTGTGCTTTTCCTTTCTTTGGCAAAGGTAGAATAGCCATTCCAAGGGATGCAGTTTAGTTATTTGTAAGCACTTACTGGAATATAAACAGTGTGGCATTCATGGAAAACAGGCTGGCCTGTGGGTGGATGTACAGTATTGGCACTGTACCTGTTCTGCTGTACTAGAAATTATAAATTTCTGAGAGTCATTTAACCCCCAAGACAGTGATGACACATCAATTTATTCGAAGTGAAGACAGTTTCTTGGTCCAAGAATGAAAATTGAGCTGCTTTCATAGATTGGTTTTGGTACAGAAATGATGTCTTTATTTTCTTGAATGCTGATAGATTCTTGATGACAGGAAGCAATGGTGGAAAGTTCGAAATGCAAGTGGAGACTGTGGATTTGTGCCAAATAACATTTTGGATATTGTGAGACCTCCAGAATCTGGGTTAGGGCGTGCTGATCCACCTTACACTCATACCATACAGGTAATTATGGATTTTTAAGGAAAACCTAATTTTTACAGAGTTTCAGTCATTCTTCTTCTTCTTCTTTTTTTTTTTAACATCATTCTTCATTTTGTGCCTTTTTCCATCTCACTTGTAATACCCATGGGCTTCCCACCACCAGTTCACCCGTGTGCCATCACCACAGTCCCGTGTATTCTTCCCACCCCAGTTCCGATCCCATTATGCTTAAATGCGATTTCAGTGCCATTTGTGTATCAGTGATAGTAAGACTTAATTGGTTGTACATCTTTTTCTAGGATGACTAGGCACATAGGTGAGAGACAAATAGAAAAAATAAACATGTGTTTTTTTATTTCCCTCTTCAGGATATTGCTCAGAATGTTTTACCAGTAAATGAGTTTGTTTGAATCCAGTTTTGTCCAGTGTTTGGAGAAGCCATATTTTTGCCTCTTCATTCATAGATAGCCCTTCTAGGAGTGGGTTTTTTTTTTTTTTTTTGATCGAGTGTTGTACTGAGATAGTAGGTAGACTATTCAGAGTTCATTTGCACAGACTTTGCCCTCGTTCTTGTAATTGTTCTGCCATTAATGAACTTTACAGTTGCACTAACACAAAAATATTTTATTGAGTAAGACCATATTTCCCCTCTTTTGATTCCAAGATGAAAATAATATGATATATGGTAGATACTTTATCTGATCAGTGAATAATAAAATGTGTAAAGCATTTCCAGTATTTCAGTGACTATGATTCTTTCATTTACTCGAATTCCTGAATTCACTTGCTATTGATTCTTAAAAATTTTTGACCTGTGATAGGCTCTCTAATTAGATCTGCCAGTAGAGACAGAATGGATGGACTATCCCATGTAGAAATTCAGTCATGGCTACTTTCTCCTGCCTTCAGAGAGAATCTTGAGCAAAATATCATGTCTGACCCCATGATAATGTCATAAATTTGAATAGAAGCCACCTACAATGTACAGTGAATAGTTAACTTTCATACCAGGTGTAATTTGGTAAATACTGAATGTCCAAGCCTACAGGCTGCTGGGACCATGCTTTTGCCTCCTCTGGGCATTCAAGCCTCCTACGCATCCTGTATTTTTCCAGGGTGATTTTGGTCTTGTTAGAATCAGTGTACAATTGCTATATCCTGATAATTTAAAGTGATGGTAGTTGTAGGGCTGTTTGCTGTGCTGTGTTTTCACTGACTTGATGTGAATGTCTGTCATGGACTTATTTTATGTTCATCATTTGTCATTAGCTGTTGATGCCAAAGAAGGAATTTGAGTTATTCAAGGTATGGTCTGCTCTGTTTCCCATGTATATTTGAAGTGAACTTTCTTACTTACATCTTTTTCTTTCCTGTGTTTTTTTTCTGATTTTGAGTTTGACTACCTGATACAATACAGGCTTCTCTCTGGTATATCAGTGCCCATTTTTCATGTTCTTTCAAGTGGAGATTTTAGCTGAATACTTTAAAGCAGCATTAATGAGCATATGCCTGGAGTATGTGCATAATCACTGTTAGAGCATAGTCCCTGTAAGACGTATAGATGATTTCTAACATTTAGCTCATGATAATCTATGAGAACTGTTGATAAAAGATGGCCCTTGCTGTATCAGCAGAAGCCAAGAGTTGATGTTTTAGCTGTTAAAAAACAATTTTTCAGGTTTATTTTTAACTGTGTGAATGGTTGCCAGGAATGGGCAAATGTCATTAAAATAAGATACCTAGAACTTAAAATAATGTAAACTTTAAGTGTTACCCCCATCTGAGATTTTCTATGGAATTTTACCTCTCTTTTCTTGCTTACTGCTCTGTTACCTTTTTCTTCAATTTTGATTTCCCTGATTGAGCTAAATTGGTTGTTCTTTCTGCTTAAAGGTTGCTTCTGCCTAAAATTGAACTAAAATTATCAGTACACATGTAGACAGGATACTTTCTGAGAACAAACACTGTTCCTCTTTTCTTGGACAGACCTCGCCTTTTGTCAACTTTGGCACAACCAAGAAAAAAAAATTTTTTTTTTTTTAAATTTATTTATTTGTGCATACAGAATTGGGGTACAGGCCAGAGGCCCAGGGGCGGCGAGAGGCTTCACCAGAGACAGATCAGGGAGCAGAACAGGCAGATCGAGGAAGTACACTGCTGAGGGGAGCAGTGGGTGGGTCAGGAGACGTCTGCCACACCATGTGGCCACCTCCGGGGCAGGCGGGAATTGAACTCATGCGGAAGCGGCTTTAGATTCTCAGTGCTGTGCTTTAACCCGCTGCGCCACCAGGAGGGCCGAAAAAAAAATTTTTTTTAAAGATTTATTTATACATACAGAACTGGGTACAGGCCAGAGGTGCAGGGTGGTGAGAGGATTCACCAGAGACAGAGTGGGGAGCAGAACAGGCAGATCGACAAAGGACACTGCTGAGGGGAGCAGCAGGCAGGTCAGGAGAGGTCTGCCATGCCATGTGGTCACCTACGGGGCAGGCGGGAATCGCACTCATGCTGCAGTGGCTTTAACTTCTTAGTGCTGTGCTTTAACCCGCTGCGCCACCAGGGAGGGCCCACAACCGAGAAAATTTTTTTTTTTTTATCCGAGAAATTTTTAAGTGCTTACAAGTTTCAGGGCATTTCGGGGGCTACTTTATGTAAATTGAAAGTTGTACAATTACCTGTGTAGGTTGTTTCTTTTGAAGCCTTTTTAACACTAGCTGACTGTCATGAAATTTTCTGGTTGCAACTCTAAATGTGTATAAAAGTTGGGTATGTATATATGTTTCAGTTGTGGACTCTCCATTTAAAAGTGGTGAGAATAATCTATTTTTGTCAGTTCCTGAAAACCTGGCATTGAGCCAAACAGAAACACCAAAATGTTACAAAATTTTAATAAGCAAACTTGACAGTGTTCTATCTAGGAGACAAGCCCTATTCTCAAAGCCTCCCTTCTCTCTCTCTCTCTCTCTCTCTGTCTCTCTCTCTCTCTTTCTCTCTCTCTCTCTTATGACTAGATAATATAAGGTGGAAAAAAAAGAAAAAGCACCCTTGGAAGTTTGTTTTTTTGTTTTCTTTTTTTTAAAATCTCTAGAGCAGTTTAACCAAATACCTTTATCTAAAATATCTGAAGAAAAATCCTGCCACTTCTTTTATATAAATGTCTGTGAGCTACATACCCTAGTCCTCACAGAAATCCGCTGGAGTACAAACACATGAAGAGCAATTTTATATCTTCGCCTCCAGAAATTATTACATTTGATGGAAAAAAGAAAAGAAAAGGATGGCCTAGCACAGAGCAGATCTCCATAAGGGCCTGTGTCCTGACGCCCAGCTCCAAACCCACCATGCTGACTTTGGACTTTCCTCTGTGCTTAATTAGGAACTAAGACCTGCTCTCATTAGTAATGGCCAACACCCTCTTTAAACCCTTTGCCTTCTATCAGTGATACCAAATGTTGAAGAAACCATGAGAAACTTCTTGCAGAAACACTTTCCATCACTGTACCGACTGAAGAAAGGTGTCTGTAGCTTCTGCTTCTTCACGTTCATGGTGGCAGTAATGATACAGTCCCCAGTGGCTGCTTCTGCTGTGCTAAGCATCATTTAGGCCCTTCACCAGTACTAATTTAGTCACTGCCCTCAGCAACCTGAGAGAGAGGGCACACTGGTGTGTGAGGAAACTGAGACACAGAAGAGAAAGTTGTCAATCATCACACAGCTGCCCAAAGCCAGGATTAGGACCCAGGCTCTGGAATCAAAGCCTGTGCTCTAATTTGCTCAAATACTGTGAGGAATTGTGTCTGGAAAAGGATGCCATCTCATGTTGTGGAGAGACTGTTTTCCCTGTGCGATTGCTGAAAGTGTCAGTTTCTAAGAACACCTTTTCCTTGCACTGTCCTAATTGATACAAGTTGATCTGATCAACCCCCATTCCAAGAATTAGATTTTTGCCATATACCTAAATCCCTTCCTTGCATTCCATCAATTCTTTTCATTTTTAAAAATCATTTAGGGAAATAGCCCAAATTATATAATTTACTTAGAAAGTAGATATTTGGGTATGTGAAATGAGGAAGTTAGTTAATTGAGGGACTTGGACAAACTTTTTGCATGAAACATCTACAAGTCACCAAATAGTTTTCAGGTCCCACATTTGTGCCTTTTATTTTTATACACTTAGTTCTCTGTAAAGAAGTAACGTACATGGTGGCAGCTCCGGGGTGGAGGGCACTGGCGCAGCCCTTGCTGGTCACACACTGTGGCTCGAGGTCCCCATCATCTGGCGGGGACGCTGGTACCTGGCACCACCACAGAGAGGTGGCGAATTGCACCTGCCAGCCCTGCGCGCCCAGGCTGTTTGATATCCTCACATTTGGAGTGATTTTTTTTAACAGCTCTGTAAAGACAGCCGTTCTCACCTATTGTGTTTCCCTCATGACTTCCATGAAGTTTTAAAAATAAAAGGAGGTAATAAAAAATTTATGAAAGATATGGAACATAAAACAAGACTGAATGAGACCACAGGGAAAGGGGAGTAAGTGCTTTCAAGAGATTATGGACAGATGAAGATAAATGTCATCTCTTTGGATGAAAATCATGTGGTAGAGCATTCCAGAGCTTTGTAGTCTTTAGCAAGGCAACAGATGGACATCCAGGGTGCTTTCTCCCCACCTGGAATCTGCTTGCCCTGTTAATTTCCCTGGTATTTCTTTTGATCTGATTCAGAAGCACTGTGACTCTTCATCTGCCAGCATGACCCTTTGCTGGTGGAGAGTCTCATGCTTGTGTTGAGAGCAGAAACCAGTCCCTCCCTTGCCCTTATTTCTGATATACTCAAAGATTCCACTATAAGAAGTCTTTTATTTATTACTAATTATTAAGTCTGCGTGCTTATTATTACTGTGCTGTTCTATTTCTATGAGACATTCTTTTGAATGTCTGTTCATTATGTTCTTGCATTCAACAAAGTTTCCCTGTCTTCTTTATTTCCTGGCAGGACGTGCAGGAAAGATCCAGCATAGGCATTGGTAGAGAAGGAATTTTGTCCCAATTCTACTACTAACCAGCAGTGTGACCTTAAAGGTCACATTTTCTTTTTCTGAAAATAAATATTTACTGAAGTAATTTATACTGTTTATACTGTATTGTGATCCTATATAATTCGTTGTCCATGGCTACATCAGAGTGATGGAGAAGAATTATATATTTGTAAGCTCCTTTATGGGTTGATTTAGGGGTGGATAATTTTTCTGTCAAAAACTAATTTGCTCCTGTTTTCTGATGTTGGATGTGAATTATAATTGTTACTGTTTTAGTCCAATCTCCTGTGTTTGTTTTCTCATTTGCTGTGGTTTGTTCCATTTTCCTAATAGCAATTGCTGGGCGAGCTCTCAGAGGTAACCCACATTTGTACACTGTGGCGCTTCTTTTTTTTAATATAATTTTTTTGGATTCAGTCTCTGGACTTAAACACCCTGCAGTGTTTCAGCTGTGCCTAGTTTTCACTGCAGAGTTCAAGAGAGACAAAATTTAAAGGGTAAAAAATGGTGTAGTTTACATTTTTAACAGCAATTCAATTTTAATTGTCACGATGGGCTTGCTTGCATCATTTCCCCTTCTGAAGCATTATCTCCCATGAATCAGGACCTTATCTCTAAATAACTTCCTTTAATCCAGAATTTCTGTTCAGTCTTAGTGGCCAAAAGAAAGTGTCTTGTTCTGATTTAATTGTCAAATGGACAGTTTGCATTGGGGTCTCGAAATCTTGACTTCTTTCAGAGAGAGAAAGTTTTAAACAGAACTTTAAATATATTTGTGGGAAACAAAAGACAAGAGTTTGGAAGTGACTGTCCCTGTTCAAAAGTACATCCACATGTAGGTGACCCAGGTGGGATTTTGTGTCCCAATAGTCCAGCTAGTCCAGAGAATATTGAGAAAGCCACAGGCCAACTCGAAGAGTTGATCAAGATTTTTTGTTTTCTTTTTTTGTTTTTTTCCTTTGTATTTGGAGCTTCAATATACTCAGCTCAGGAAAAGAAAGATCAGGATGCAGTTCCTCTCTACACGACTTTTCCCAATTTGAGGACTCTGCTTACTCTAACCACAAGTTGTCAACCTGCCTACCAGTTAAAAGCGGTGGGCCTATCACCCATTAACTTCTCTTCCCTTCACAATTTCTCTCTCTTATGGGAGACAGAAGTCCTCAGAAAAGAGTCATTATTGGGTGTAGGTAAAAGGGAGTGAAGAAGCAGGAGAGGGATAAAGAAGTGATTTCAGTAAGTGCTCATTGTCTTTCCTCCACAGCAGGAAAGACAGATCAGTTTCCATGGAAAAACAGTCTTGGTTGTCATTTCAGGACAGGCTGGAAGGGTTCAAGGAGGGTCTTTGACCTGGCTCTCATTCCAGCAGCCATAAGCATGAGGCAGGAAGGGGGTGAAGGGGAAAGTATGCAGGTGACATAATTTACAGCAAATCGTTCATGTGCTTTCTCTTTACTCAAATACATATTCCACTGGAAATGGTGCATTATATAGCGATCACAGGTGACAGAGACCAGGCACAGATGATTCGGGGAGCATGTCTTCAGGCTTGAATATGACCATGACACATGTTTCATTCAGTTTCTCACAGCATTATTGGGTGGGTAGCGAAACACTAGCTGTTCTTGTTTTATGAGAGGGAAAATTTATGAATCATATTGTGGAATGTAGAGTGGATAAGAATTTCTGCTTAAGCTTCAAAAACAGTAAAGTCTGACTCTTGAAATCCTGCTGTGAGCTTTCACTAACAGTTCGTGACATGATGTGCCAAGCAAATTCATGTCCAGGAAACACTGCATATCCAGTATCCACATAACTTTGGTGTGTGCTAAGTACTGTGCGTGGATGTTTGCTGTATTTTGATAGCGTTAGCTGTTTCATTGGCCCAAATATAGGAACATTGTTTTGGGGGGATAATAGTTACTACAGCGATAGGACAACAAGCGTGGGGACAGAGCCGCATCTGATTCTCTCCCATGTGCGTCTCTTGCTCTTTGCTCTCTGAATCCCGGCCCTGCACTTGCTGTTTTCCTTCCTACTTGCTCTTTCTCCCACCAGCTCCTCCCACCATACCAGCAGCATTACTCAGATGCTTCTCTCATGTCGACGTCCAACTTTGCTCTATACCCGTTCCCCATTCTCCAGCTGTGGGTTGGTGCCTGATAGCCTGTAAAGACCCGGACTCCCACCCTGCTGGTTTCCACAGTGTAACTCGCTTGTTGTGAAGGCCACTGGGATGTTGGTGGATGTGCAGCTTTTGAGTGACCATTTAATTAAAAGTTGGTATGTCTGTGTAGTGTGGATAATGTGTTTGATCTCTGTGGAAATTGGGGAAGATTCTTACAGTCACTCTTACCTTATATTTGGGCCAATTCAGAAATTAAAAATAAACGTTTTTGTAACTAAAGGACCAGATTATCAAAAGGCCAGCTTTTTGAATTTTATCTTGCTCACCCTGACATTTAGGATAATTAAAATTGTGTCAATGCCATATCTAAACTTCACCTTGATTGAGTCGCTACTCTGTATCTTTAATCCTACCAGTAATCCCCGCAGTCCCCCAAAGTGCCTTTTGAGAATTTGGAGTTTGTTATGATGCAGTTGCCTGTTATTCAAAAGTATTTTGCTTAAAGTTTTAACTATTATATGTTATTTATTCTTTTAAGATTTATTCATGCACGGGCCCTCCCTGGTGGCACAGTGGGTTGGAGCGTTGCACTGTGAAGCTAAAACAAGCCCTGGCTACTTTAGTGCGAGTTCGATCCCCACCCTGGAGGTGACCCACACGGTGTGGCAGACCTCTCCTGTATCACCCACTGCTCTCCTCAGCACTGTGCCTTGTCGATCTGCCTGTTCTGCTCCCCACCCTATTTCTAGTGAATCTTCTCACCACCCCTCACCTCTGGTCTGGACCCATTTCTGTATGCACAAATAAATAACATCTTAAAAAAGATTTATTTATGCATAGAAGAACTGGGGTATAGGTCAGGGCTGTGGGGAGAGAAGATTCACCAGAGACAGAGTGGGGGGCAAACAGGTGGATCTACTGAAACACTGCTGAGGGGATCAGGAGAGGTCTCCTGCGCCATATGGGTCCCGTCCCCGGCTGGGGATCAAACTTTGAACTTGGGCCATCAGTGATACCACTGAGACATAGCCCCTGCACACCAGAGAGGCTCCTATTATGTGTTATAGGAAAAATGTATAGATATGGTTGATGTAGAAGTTTTAAAACTACTGCGTATTCTGTCACATCCTCTTTGAAAATATGAATCCCAGCAGTCTTTTCTACTGGATGTATGTGAATTGCAGTCATACAAATTTAATGAAAGACTCTTACCACCACCTACCCCTATAACATTCTCATTTTTTTTTTTAAAGATTTATTTGTGCATACAGAACTGGGGTACAGGCCAGAGGCTCAGGGGCAGCGAGAGGCTTCACCAGAGACAGAGTGGGGAGCAGAACAGGCAGATCTACGAAGTACACTGCTGAGGGAAGCAGGGGGCGGGTCAGGAGAGGTCTGCCACGCCATGTGGTCTCCTCCGGGGGCAGGCGGGAATCGAACTCATGCAGAAGTGGCTTTACCTTCTTAGTGCAGTGCTTTAACCCGCTGCGCCACCAGGGAGGGCCCATAACATTCTCATTTTAACAAGAACAACTTTTTATACATAAGCATTTAGATGGTGGAAAGCTTAAGACTTGAAAAGATTTTACAAGCATTTTAAAATTATTTGCTTATTTTAAAGCAACCTGCTTCATTTAGAGAATTATTATTTCTCTAATGGATTTCTTGGAAACAGCAGAAATAAACATTTTTAATGTAGTAGTGTACACTTAAAGTAAGGAGTAACTAACACGGCATTAGCAATCCTCACTATTGGAATTAAAATCAGGCATCTTTAGTCCTACCTTGGTCTTGGGTGAGTCCAAGTCTCAATTTAGTCTTTTTGACATTTATTACTACATACAGTTATTTAGTATTGATAGATACTTAGGGTGCCTTAAGTTACATTTTGATTTTAAATGCTTTAGACTATTTAAAAGACAGTACTTAATGATCCTCATGCCATATTAAACTGTGTACACACACACACACACACACACACACACTCACTCACTCACTCACTCACTCTACTATAGGTTTGAAGCAAGTTTTTGTATAAATGGCCAACACTAGCCTGTCAAAATAATAATTTGTTTTCTTGGTCTCGGTTTATTATTCTTAAATTTCAAATCATTTGTCTGTTTATAGAAACAAAGGATGGAGTATGGCCCCAGACCTACTGAAACCCCTTTGGCTCCATCGCCTCCTCCGACACCAGCTCCTGTTCCTGTTCCTGTCCCTGTCCCCGTCCCTGTCCCCCTTCCGCCCTCTACTCCAGCGCCTGTGCCTGTGCCGAAGCTCCCAGCCAATGTGACCCGTCAGAACAGCAGCTCCAGTGACAGTGGTGGCAGCAGTGCACGCGACAGCCAGCGACATAAGCAACTTCCTGTGGACCGTAAGTTTCCTAGGGAGGTAGAAAGCATGCTGTTACTTCAAGAACTGACTGAAGGCACAGCATAGTAGCACAGTGTTTATGATCAAGTCCAGTCACATTAAAGGTGACTAAATGCAGATGACAGTCTTTTCTACTTGCATGGTACCCCCACAGAGTGCAAGGGTTTCCCTGGCTTGTCAAGTAGTTCTGTGCAACAAGTTCTCTCTCTCTGCCCCAGTGTGTGTATCTCTATATAAGTTTAGGTATATTGGGGTGGTTGGTTGTGGACTCAAACCGAATTACTTCAGTTTGGTCGGGAAACACCACTTAACTGTCTCTGGCTGTCACCAATTTAGTAATCTTACCTATATTTCAAGATAGGAAAGATGGTGGTGTTTTGATTAGGAATTGTGGGGACTTAATGAGATGATTAGACCAGCTGTTCTGCCTGGGGTGAATTTTCCCCTCCCTCCAAGGGATATTTGGTATTGTCTGGAGAAATATTTTGATCCCATCAGGAGGACGCTGATGGCATCTTGTGGGTGAAAGCCAGGGATGTTTTGCAATGCCTTACAGTAAGCTAAGCCAGTGTTATTGGCCCAAAAAAATCTGTGGTGGTGAAGTTGAGAATCCCTGATTGGCCTTGAGCGGTGTGATATTTCTAATCAGTGAATAAATATTTGCTACTGTCAAGTCACCTCAGTTTTCCTGCTGCTCTCCTCCATATTTGCTATCCTCACATACATACATAGTCACAGTAGCTCAGTATCATCCTGCCGATAACACTTTCACTGCCCTCCAGATTCAGACTTGATATGATTTGCACTTCAACTTCACATTTTAAACTTAAAATTTTTATATGCATGGTTTTATGAAAACCAGATTTAAATAAACTGTAAGCAAGTAAACATAGCCAATTGTGTTTTAGCCTTATTGGTATTGGAAATAATAGCATAGATCAATGAAAACTTCGGTTAATTCTAATTTTTATAATGCTTTGCCTTACAGAATTTGGCTTATCTGTTTAAACTTCAAATTATAATTTTTAAACTGTTATAAAGTTACTGGCCTTTACCTATACTTGATATATAAAAATTCTTTGAATACTGACCAAGAAAGATTTTTCCTCAATATAAGAGTGTAGAAAGGCTGTGGTGTGTGTATGAAAATGATTTCTCTCATTTTCTCAATATGGGTCTCTTCGAGGGCTCAGTTTTGGGTTTTTTACTCCATATAAACATACTTTATCTATTTCTGTTTGTTCAGTCTATATTGGGGGGAAGGAATGACTCCTAAGCTCCTGTGTGAAACCTCATCTCTAACACCACATACATGTATTGAACTATTTATGGATGCTTGAGATTTGAATTTACAATCAAATTATTGAATCTTTCATTTTTACCTATTGTCTTATCTCAACAAGTCATCATAAATATGATGTTATTTATTGATTTGTGATCATCCTAAATTTAAAAATTGAAAAAAGACAATAAAACTATTACTACCCAGTTCAAGAAATTATGACTAAAAGCAGTAAGTGTAAGTTACTAAAAGCAGTAAGTGTTTAGTTGGTACTTCCTCTCCCAAAGTCTGGGAGAGGAATTAAAACCATCTTCTTATTAACATCTTGATTGAACAAAAAATTGGAAAAATAAAGTTTGAGAAAAATAATTTTTTCTGTATAGTAAAAAGAACTGTTTGTGTGAGAATGTGTATGTATGTGAGAATGTGAATGTGTACAATTAATATGCTACTAAATGTTAAGTTCTTAGTTAAAAAAAAAAGATTCTTTGAGTTTTTTCCAAAGGTGCCAAAGACATAGTTTTGAGAAGAGAAAGTCCTATATTTTTATTGATTTCCCAAAGGAACATTTCCCTCTTAGAAATGACAATTTTTTCCCTTTCCTTCTTATCATAAGTTTGTAACTTATTTCATTCTTTGCTACACAAGCACAGTAATCTTTGACACAGTGTCACTTCTTTTTCCACTCCTAGGATCAGAGTTCATAGGCACCCAGGCCCCATCTGGAACAGTCTGTGGGTTGGGACAGTTTGTTCTTTGTCTTAGTCTCTGAAACTAAGAATAACAGAATGGGAAAGAGGCATAGTTAAAATACTTTAAAGATAGAGAACTCTCCTGATAATTGTGACTCATCATTTTAAAATTTGTTTTCCCAAGTACAAGGATGACATTGGTATATAAAATGTGAACATCTCTCCAAAAATTAACATACATACTTGTTGACTTAAGAGAATTCTATTTTACATTACTTATATAATGTTTTTAAAAGATACCTCAGAATTATAGTATGGAATTTAAGAGATTTATTTTTATAAAATAAGATTTTAAATATTTAAAGACTTATCTATGCATATAAAAACTGGGGTGTAGGCCAGAGATATGGGGGAGGGAGGTGGGAGAGATGCGAGGATTCACCAGAGACAGAGTGAGAAGCAGAACAGGCAGATCTACTGAAATACACTGCTGAGGGAGCAGGGGGTGAGACAGGAGAAGTCTGCTAGGCCATGTGCATCACCTCCCTGGCCAGGGTTTGAACTCATGCTGCATTGGCTGGTGATAGTTTGATAGTGCTGTGTCTTTGACCCCTGCAACACTGGAGAGCCCCAAAATAGGATTTTCTTGATAGCTCCCTCTGGAGTATATTTTTGGAAAATATTTTTTGCTAAATGAATGTTGGGGTTTCTCTATAGTCTTTTAAAACCAGATATCCAAGTTTATTGGCAACCTATTTTCTTTCAAAATATGACTACTTATGTTGACTACATTCACACTTACTCCATAGACTGTTGTGAATAATTGAGGGACTATAAAATGAATGCTTACTCATCGAAATGTTACCAAATAGTCATGAACAAGGAGCAAGAATCAACATGTGTGATTAATACACAGCAGAGAGCAAAAGCAGACGCATGTGGCTAGAGCATCACGGCCTGCTGCCTATCCAGCCCAGCTGCTTGGAGCCGTGTGTCACATAAGCTGTTTGGCAGAATGCTTCCCTCATTCGTTTACTCAAAGGCAAAGTGAGTGAGTTAAAATAGCTGTCAACTGAAAGTCAAGTAGAATTTGGAAAATCAGGATTCCTAAAGGGTCTCTTCTTCCTATGTTTGAAGATATTTTCTTTAGCTGTTTTTCATTTACTTCCTTTGAAACAGTCCTTTTATTTGCACCTAATCTTTTGTGATTGGAGTGTTATTTTAGAAAGAGGTATGAAGTTTGTCTGGCTTGTTGTGTGTTAGCACTTTGAGAGCAGAAACCCAAACCTGGGGTTTGGGTTTGTCCTCACAGAAGGGAATTGTGCTGGGGATTAGAGGTAGTTATTCAGTAGCTGAGTCAGTAGATAAGCAGATGATGTGGCGATATTAGCATGATGATACTTTTGTTGTTCTTTGAGATGTTCTCCTGTGCTCTTTGGCAGTGTGACGTAGCAAGGAAGCGATTGCATGTGTGTATATAACCGAATCTAGCACTCAGTATCTCGCCTTTCTCTTTGCTCCCTCTCTCTCCTCCTCTCTTTTCCTCCCATTTAACTTTCTTCTGACCTCCTCTCAAAAGGTTCCCTGAATATTTGAGGCATTAAAAAAAATTAGACTGAAATACACAAGCTTATTATTTCCCGCTTTCAGAAACTCTCCTTGAAAAAGAGAATCTTTGAATATTGGTCATAGAAAGCTCCCCTAGTGACCAGAGCTCTGCTACTTAACCAAGTTAGTTACCTGAATTTCTTTTTCGTTCATTGTAATACTTTAAGGTAATACACAATTAAGTTAATATTTTTGTGTATGTATATACACACCTCAACACATCTTCCCTTTCCTGTATATTGATTTCTTCCCTATTATTCTTATAAATAAAGGTTTATATGTGCATCCTATTCTACGTGTAAAATGGGCAGGGAAGAGGGATGGTAGGTGGATCACAGTAGTTGTAAATTACTGTGGCCATAAAGTAGTTGTGAACTGAAAGTTAAAAAACACAGCATGTACTAAATTTTGCAACTGATGAGCAGTGTGGTTTTAACAGGGCATTTCTCCTCTTTGGCCTCCATTTTCCTAGCTAGTTATGTTAGGACTTTGTACATGATGCTTTTCAAAGTCTCTCAGTGAAAAAGTCAGAAGAATGCATGCACCTCTCATTCATTTATTCAAGTGTTGAGTCAACCCTATGCTTTCCTAAATACTCCAAGTAAAAAACAAACAGGTGAAAGTTCATTTGTTCCTCAGGCATTCATTTCAATGAAAGAAGATAATCAGTTAGTTGCTAAAGAATATGAAGGATGATAAGTGGTATGGGGGCTAAGGAAGCCTGGAGAATAGGGAGTACATTTGGGGAAGTTTGAAATAGTCAGTGGGGGGGGGGTCTCAACTTGGGGAAAGTGAACCAGGTAGTTATGTGAAGAAGAAAGTGCTTTTGAGGCAGAGGCTGTCACCTGTGAAGAGCGCCGAGGGAGCCAAAGAGGGCAGAGGTCATGTAGACACTTTTCCTGGAGTCATTTGGATCACATGGGAAGGTTTGGGGCAAAACAGTTGTCACAATTGACTATATTTAAAAAGTATCATCATTTAAGCTATTGTACTGAAATAGGAATGAAGAGCAAGGAATAGGGTGCTGAAGAAACAGGGAGACTGGGAATAGGCTGGGAACTGAAAAGAGGAGAGTGACGGGTTATTGATTTTTTCCTGATGGTATGACTGGCAGGATCTGCTGATGGATTAGATGTAGTAGAGGATAAAGGGGAATAGCACTTAGGCTCACGGTGCTTTGCCAGAAAAAATGAAAAAGTAGAATCACTGTAAAGTAAGGTGGGAATTCTAGCATAAAAGCAAGCTTCAGGAAGTAATTCAGACTTGACATTGTTATGTGGGGTCTCTGATAGACACGTAAATGAGTATGTCAAGTGCATAGTTGACATGTATGGACTTGAGTTCTGGGAGCAGCCTGGATTGGAGGAATGATTGCTACAATCATCAGCTTTTCAGTGGCATTTAAAGTCAAGAAACCAGTCACAGCGTCCTTCCATGGAGTGAGTGCAGTTGGAGGAGTGTCCCAGAGCAGTACCAGGAGATGAAGACACTCAGAAAAGGAGAAGGGGAGGCCAGCGAGACGGGGGTGAAATTAGGCAAGAGTAGAATGTTGGAGGCCAGAGAAGGAAGTGTTTCGGGGAGGATTCACCCCTAGATGCTACTGGTAGATTAGATGAGACAAGGACAGGGAATTGGCTGTGGAGTCCAGCACAATGTAGTAGGGGAGTAGGGCCAGAGGCCTAACCGCAGGGGATTAAAGAGAGGACATTGAAGTTAGTGAGTATAAACAGCTTTCCTGGTTTTGCCAAAAGGGGATGAGAGAAATAGACAGCTGAGAGGTGACTGGAGGGGGCGAGGGGATGGTGGGGGTGGTGGTGGTGGTGAAAGGACTGACTGAGGAAAATAATAATGAAATAATAACACGTCGATGAGATGATTCCAAGAGGGAATTAAGAACATAGGGTAATAGAAGAGAAATTACTGCCAGGGTATTTACATGGGTGTGGTGTAGTCTAGTGCACCTGCGGCGCTGGCCTTAGGAGCTTGGGAGCAGCATTTCAGATGCAGAGATGCAGTGTGGAGAGGGCAGGGGAAGGGGAGTGCAGGTGGGTAAGGACTGCTAGGGGAACTTGCAGAGGCTCTCTCCTCACTGCTTTATTCAGACATTAGGAAAGGAAGATCAGCTGAGGGTAGAGACTGGGGGACAGAAGGAGTTTTGCAGAGAAAAAAAGGTGTTAAATACTTGCCTGGGAGAGTGGACAATAACCTTGTTGTGAGGCAGGATTTCTGACTGAGCTCTGTTGACACTTGGGCCTGGAGCATCCTCCTTTTAGAGATTGGCCTGTGTATGTTGTAGATTTTTCTTGTGTCCTCAGCCTCATGATAGTTACTTCCCAGCCCTCACCTCAAGTTGTGACATCTCCAAGTTGTGACGTCCCAGTCATTGTCAGTTGTCCCTTGGGGACAAATTTTTTTTTTTTTTTTTCAGTAAAGAACCACCAGCCTAAGGAGGTGTAGTATGATTGTCAGGGAGCATGAACAGCCCGTTTGAGGTTCAGAGTCATGAATTTAACATGAGATCATTCAGTGTTGCTGTGTTGAACTCAGAAGGCAGGTGCAGACACAGAATAAGCAGAAAGTCAGATTTGATAAGGGATGGGATTTTGCCAAGTGAGTACAATGGAGCAAGAGGAGAAGAGCCAGAGAGTGATATTAATAATTGATCATGGAATTTATACAGGGTGAGGATGAAAGTGAGGAAAGATGGTAGACTATAAATGTTAACTCCTGCTGTGGTAGAAGGGTTCTTGGCATTGGGATTCCAGAGAGAGCAGCAAAGTGTAAGGTGTTTGCACAATTAACTATTCTGTGTCACTGTCTAGGGAGGAAATCACAGATGGAAGAGGTGCAGGATGAGCTCATCCACAGACTGACCATTGGCCGGAGCGCTGCTCAGAAGAAGTTCCATGTGCCACGGCAGACCATGCCAGTTGTCAATATCACTTACGACTCCACACCAGAGGAGGTGAAGACATGGCTAGAGTCAAAAGGTTTCAACCCTGTGTAAGTCTTTACACTTTACAGTTATGTGTGTAAAACTTGCCTTGTTTGCAGCTTAATCGCTAAGACGTCACATGTGACTCAATAATGTCAAAGTCCACGGTTGCTTTGTGCCATGCTCGGGAAATGATAGGAGAATTGGAAGGTGCAGAAAGAACTGACTTTTAACCTGATGTTTTAGGTGATGCTGTCTGTTCACCCCAAGCAAACTCTCAGCAGTTTTGGAGGTTGACAGCTTTCCTTCTCCCACTCATGGTTCACTGGGGCTAGGACGGTCGTCTGCCCAGAGAACGTGCATCATAATCTTCCCTTCTGCTGCGGGAGAGAGATTCTCAGGCAAATGAAAAACTAGATCTCTAATAGAAACTTTACTTTAGTAAACCCATAGTCCGGACTCAGTGTGTCTGTGATCCAAACATTTTATGTGGATTTGAACCAATGCACTCTTTGATCAATGTGCAATCAGGAGAATGTGACATAAACTCACCCAACATGACTGAAAAATGAGCAATACTGACTAGTCAATTGCCTGGTTACTAGGAAGTTACCTGGTCCTTCTCTGAAATACCACACTTCTAGGAGTCAGTACTATTTGGTAATGATACTAAGCCAGCTGTCTTCTTTTCCATACTTCATGATCAGTCACCCAGCTAGTCACAGAGTCGTCCTCGCGGGAGGTCCTGGCCTGTCCTGACTTCACAGGAATCCAGCTGATGCGCCACTTGGGAAGGAGTCAGAGCCAGACTAGGCATTTTTATCTTTTGACTTTTTCTAGATGGTCTCTTTAATGCTTTCTTTTTTTCTTGTATTTTTCTATTTTAGGACTGTCAATAGTCTTGGAGTATTAAATGGTGCACAACTTTTCTCTCTCAATAAAGATGAACTGAGGACAGTCTGCCCTGAAGGGGCTCGAGTCTTCAGCCAAATTACTGTACAAAAAGCTGCACTGGAGGTATGATAAGTCAGCCTGTGCCTTGTTTCTGCATGACTTATGAGTGTGGAGTTAGTTAAGAGTAAGGAAATTGCTCTGCAACCTGTTTATATCCACATTGCTTCCATGCAGAGCTGAATTTGTTTCCGCTTTTGTCATTTGTCGCTAGACACCATCAGTGACCATTTGCAAGATTTGTTTGTTATAATGTTCTTGTAACATGAAGCTTGAACTCATACTCTGAGAGGTGGAATAAAAGCCAAAAGTTCTTTTTAAAGGAGTTTTGTACTGCTTTAGGAATTCTAACTTTGACACAGTAACAGACTGTCCTGTTAAGAGCATAAACATGCCTTAAGTGTCCGAAATTCTTCTGCCTGTCCTTAATTTGGAGATTCTAGTATGTTAGAGGTTCACAAAACCTCTTAAATCTGGACTGTGCCTATCTCAGTTTGGTTATACATCTAAATAATCAGAGGAGAAATGCTAGGTAGGGATCATCAAAAATAGGGAGCCCAGAAGAGTAATTATTGAGTCAGGGTATCTGTATGAAAGCAGGGAAGTAAATATTTTTTGGATTAAATATATTTAAACTTCCACGAGCCTCCTCTCCCTAAAACAGGCAAAGCAAGGTAGTAGTTTTCAGTGGTTACACACTTTTTAATAGCGTTTGTGAAAATTATACTTGGGCTCAAATGAAAGAATATAGGTTTTGGCTTAAGATTGCTGCTTAATCATCTCTAGCATGTATATTATATAAATTTAATAGTTAAGTAACAGAGTAAAGTAGATTCATGCATACAACCCGGTAGCTGTTCTGAATCAAGAGTAATGACCTTTACCCTGGAAATGTTTCCTGTGACATTGATTGTCTTTGTAGATTGACTGAATAAGGATCGTCTTTGCCAGGCAATTTCATTACCATCATGCATTCTAATTTTATTTAGGATGCATACATTGCTTCTTAAGGATATGATGGAAAGTGCCATGTTCTTAAGACTGTTACAGTCATTGACGACCCCCTCCTTGGTCTCTGTTTCACTGGGTGTAAATTGAGGCAGCGGCAGATTAACTGAGGTCCTTCACCTGCCCCACCTGCCTTCACACTCCACCTCTCTCTTGCATCCAGATCAGCGTTACGTAGGTTGCTAGACGTCACCGAGGGGAACGGGATAAGGGCAGCACACAAGCTTGGGCGGTGGGGCTTGGAAAGAAGAGTTCATGGGATGTCAGAGGTTTGCCTCTCTATGGCGGGATCAACTTGGTGTACAGTTTTGGGGCCTGGTTTAGAATCCCCTACATGCAGATGAGTGTTTCTAGACCAAAAGAGGATTGTTTGATAACATAGCACCTCATTATGCTCATTGTGTACATGTCTTTTTTCTCTTGGGAACCTGCACCATCCCACAAGCATCATGGATTTCTCTTTATTATGCTCAGGTGACAGTTGTATGAATGAATTTGCCTTAAGACAATTTGTAAATATAAAAATTATAAATGTGATGTTTGTGAAGTCCAGAAATGTCATATTTCCCCCCAAGGGACAGTAGAAGAAAAACACAAGGGACTGTTAGTCTGAGCATTCTGTGACATGTTGTTTGTAGCCTCCCAACCAGCAACCAGTTTGTCTGAGCCATTTTTATTTTTCAGGATAACAGTGGCAGCTCTGAGTTGCAAGAAATCATGCGAAGACGACAGGAGAAAATCAGTGCTGCTGCTAGTGATTCAGGAGTGGAATCTTTTGATGAGGGAAGCAGTCACTAATTTGTTTGTTTGTTTTTAAACTCCATTATTCTTGGCATTATTCCAACATGCTTTGTTTTAAGAAGCCATGAAGGGAATGTCAGATACTTATTTCTTGGTATGCTTAATTTATTGCCATAAAGAGACAGTACAAACTTTTAAGTAAGCAGAGGACTTGCTTCTGGGCCCATTATTTTTATTAAAGCTGACAGTTTTAAAATATAAATTTTTGACCTTGGGCAGTATCTTGCCAACTTTTCCATGATAAAATTTCCTTTATTGGGTTAATTATGTCTTTCCACCTCAGTGTATAAACAGACATTTTTGACAATGGTGGATTTTTTTCTTGCACCAAAACAAAGATCTGGCCCATGATTCAGTAGCTAAGTGATTTCACTTTTGCCTGTGGCTGTGGTGTCTATAATCGAGTATAGCTTACTGGAGACTTGCCTCTGCTTACTTGGGTTTCCTCTTCTACATATTCAGTGATAGAAAATTTGGATTTATTTAGAGTTCTTAATGCCAACAGATTTTTAGAAACTAAGACATTTAATGAACTGTATGATACAGCAAAGCTTGAACATACAACTGCAAACCCGTGAAGCGTTCCCAAGGTGGTTCTCTTGTCATGGCTCTGTTGACCACGATTCCTTGTAAAGCTTGTATTTTGATTTTGTTTCTATTCTGCTTAGTACCTATACCATGTTATTATATAAGAGAAAGCACAAGTGGTAAAGAGGTTACATACATTGAAAGTCTGTCACAGGAAGTCACCTGCATTGGTGTGTGTTACAGTATTTTGCTTAATGAAGGCCTCAGTTCCGAGTAGTGATTTAAATAGCTGAAAGGAAATGGGGCCGTTTTATGTATTGATCTGTATCAAGTTTTTCTGGTCATAATAAGAAACAGTTAATTTACACATATTTAATCCTGTGAAAGATTCTAGATAGAGAAGAAAGATGCTTAACCTTCAACAAATGTTATTTTTGGAACACAATTATTGTCATTACATGTTATGTTATTTCACATGTATAAGATAGATGTTATGTAAGAATGGTGTATATTTTAACATAAATCCATTTAGAGAGTTTATCTAGATTCATTAATTTTCATAGTGCCTTTTTCACATGAGTCAGCTGGAAAGTCTGCAATAAACAGTATTTGCTGTATGTGATTAAGTGGCTGCTGTCTTGTTGACAAAAGGGATTTTTGGTATGTGGACTGGGGATCTGAGTTGGGTGGAATGGGAAAACAGAGCACCACTTTCCATTTACTGATTGCTACTTGTGATTTTTGATTTATAGGACATATATAGTCATCACTTAGATGACCACAATATATTTTTTCAGACATATTTGGTCTTTATCCACAGTTCCTGACTCACAGCTCCCAAAAGTCTTGAGATTTGAGTGTTGAAAGGGTTAAAGGTCTTTGTTTTGTGAATGGGATGACTTTGGCCTGGCACCTAAGGGGAGGGGTGGTTTGCTGAAGAAATGATCCTGTGATTAGAGGTTGGGATTTTCATTCTTGCCCTCTGACCTCTTAGGAGGAAGTTTAGTTCACTTGCCAATTACGTAATCAGTCACTTAATTGGTCCTACTGTACAGGGAATCCTCCATGAAAGTTCAGAAAGGGTTTTGGAGAGCTGCTGAGTTGGTGAACAGGAGGTTTGAGGAAAGAATGATGCCCATGGAAAAGGCACAGAACTCGGTGCCCTGTTTCCATATGCCATTCTATCCATCTCTTCCACCCGGGCTGTGGATTCATGGCCTTTGTAATGAATAGATTTAGTGAGTGAATGTGTTTCCTGAGTTCTGTGTGCCATTCTAGCAAATTAATCAAACGTAAGGAGCGTATTCTGGGGACTCCGGCCAAAGGCATGAACAGTAATCTAGGCTTCTCTGGAGACCTGAAGCCTGAGGAGAGCATCCTGGAAATTTACAGTCTGCAGCCAGTGGACAGAGGCACAGGTAACTGCCTGAGGTTTGAGGCCTGTGTCTGTGTGGAAGGTGTCTTGGGAGTCTGGGCCCATAAGTAGTATCAGAATTGAGTTCAACTGTCATGCCTCTTACTGGTGCCTGAGAATTGCTTGGGCGGGGGGTTAGGGGGTTGGGAAATGGGATGTTGGTCTTGGGATGCCAAATATGCCACAGCATATTTCTGTGTGCAGAAGCTACTCTAGAATCTTTCTTCAAGAATGTTTTCTCTTCCTTCCACCCACTCTTTTATTTCATGTTTTCTTCCCATTATTTAATCACACTTGGCTATGGTTATTTAAAAAAAAATCTATTCAGCACTTAGGATTACCAAGTGCTTCCACATAATTATATTTGTCACATGTCCATGAGTTGTATTTTGTAGTTGAGAAGATTTAGCTTCCTAGAGACTAATTTTCCCCAAATCACAAGGGATAAGAAGTCTCTCACTTTTTATTTCTCCTTCTCTCAAACACTTTATACCTGACTTCTGAGGAAGTTGTTAGCTACCTGGCACTTGAAGTGGAGAGCACAATGAAGCTGTTTTTGAGAATGTGGGGGCACATGAAATAGAACTAGAGCCCACTGGGAATCAATTTCTGTTTAAAGAGCTGTTATTGGCGTGGCATGATAAAAATGGAGTAACACAGGACAGAGCAAGTCCTGTGTCCCTCTAGACTGTTAGCTCCCTGCAGCACACTCTGGGAGGGACCATTGAGACTCACCTGCCAAAGCCCTTAGCCACCAAGGTGAGCATTGGGGGTGGCTTTAAAAGTGAGAGAACAGCTCAGTAACCGCCCACCCCCACTCCTGCTGCATAACCTCTGCACTTTCTCTTCTGCACATGCTGGAAATTCCTCAAGCCCAGGAGAGCTGGGCCAGAGACTGTGAAGAGAGGATCCAGACTGTTGACTGACGCTGGCAACTGAAGGTTTGCAGTGATGTTGCAGGTGATGTTGAGTTGTTTGTGCTGTGGATTCCTGAATTTAATGGCTTGTCCATTCTGGGGTGAATTCCAAGATCTCACTGGATGTCCACAGTTAAACGGTGTTAAACAATTCACTTCCTTTGGCTAGATGTCTATGTCCCGCGAGGGGTGAGGGAGGAAGGTAGGGGCTGAGGTGGCCACTGGTCAGGAAGACTCGGGTGATGCTCTGTGGGAACGGTGGATTCCCTTACAGCTGTCTCTACTCGCTCTGCACAAGTGCCTTCACTCTGGTGCCCTCCTCTGAACTCTGGCTATTTCCAGTGCCTTAGACACTGATCTTTGCCTCCTCAGCTCGGCGCGATTAACTTTCTCTGCCTGCATCCTCGTCACTGCATTGCCATTGAGGGTTTGTCTTCAAGCAGAGTCAGCGTCCTCCCCCAACGATCTTGTTCTACTTACTAAAGGTGACCACTACATTTTATTTTCTCTCCCTAGGAGAGTACTGGGTGATGAGATGCTAATGTAAGAGAATGCCAGTCACTTAAAATGTCACTTTCATATGTTTCTCTAAGAAAATTTATAGGAAAACGTGATGTTTATTTTCAAAAATTAAATGTACGGGCCCATCTCTGGGGTTTGGGTAGAGATCTCGCTGGGTTTAGTCCTTCTTGCTTGCTGCTTAATGCCTCCCTGAGGAGACCGGAACATTTGAAAGTCATACAGACACATTGAAGGGGTCATAGATACTGATTATGAGGAGACAGCATTGTTTATGAAATATGTTTAAGTATTTACTTCCAGAATTGGCTTTCCAAAGGGAATCCTAGATATAGTCTCTGCATCAGGAACATGTAACCCAGGAACTATTGTTATTTCCGGAGCGACACCTTTGACCACCCCTGGGACAGAATTATACCCCAAAACCTGCAGTGCTGATTTCCCAGAGGCTATGATTTTTATACCTGGGACAAATTTGCTTTTCCCAAAGGGCATACCTGTTAGTCTAGTGTGAGAGGCCTTTATGGGGTTGCATAAAACACCCCTTGGAATGAACTGGAAGGAGAAGGCTGTCACTATTCTGCCACCTTTCGGTTGGAAATTTCTTTACTGATAACCAAAGAAAAGAAAGCATAAAATGCTCACAAACTGGTCACTCGAGGTGACTCTAGAGAAGGCTGGAGTTCCCAGCAGGTCTGGGGCCCTGCAGGAAAGCCGGCCTGTCTTCACACTTCCCCACATTGCCCTCACATCATTTGCTTCCTCTACCCCTTCTTTCCCACTGGCCTCTCCAAGACCTACCGCCATGCCATCCACAGCCGCCTCTCCTTTTTATTTTTGCTCTCAGAGTCCTGAATTTAGATTTCTGTATCCATTGGCATTTTCACCAGCTGACCCACTTCCTGAAGAGCATTACACGTAGTGCCTTTTGTTTAGACACTGTGCTGCTGGGGCAAGGTGGGCCGTGGACCAGGACTCCTGCCAGGCCCAGATGGTTCTGGTCCAGCGGGGCTCTTCCCTTCTGCCTACAGGAACTTGGCTCAATTCCTGCTTTTCTGGGGCAGGCCTAGGTACTCACTTCTGACCAGCAAGCCTCACTGTAGTTTCTCAGCTTCAGCCATTCCTGTTTGGCCACCAAATGAGCAGTGTTTGCAGGTAATGGACAGACAGGGAGTAAGAGACATGCACGGTGAGAATTAATACCCACGGTTCCTGTGCACTTTATACGGGTTTCTGAGGTTTCATTCAGGGCTGGCAGGTGCAGAGGCCTTTTCCCTCTACTCTGAAGGGGGAGGATGGGAATAGTCTCACCTGTGCTGAGAACAGCCCCATCACTGCACTGTAGATGACAAAATGGAAATGCAACTTCTATGTGTCCTGCAAGGTTTTTCTTCCACAATCCCGGGTGAGTGTGTTTAAAAAAAAAAAGGCAGAAAAAGCACTTTTTAAAAATGAACTATTCTTTTTTGATTGCTGAGTGGAATATAGAGAAACCAAACAAAAAGTTAAAACTAGCCAGTTGACCATAAATCTGCGACTGTCAGCAAAGGAGGGGGCAAATCCGGAGGGGGAGACCACGCGAGAACGTGCTGATGGCTCACAGGTGCCTGGTGGCCGGAGCGCTTGGGACTACAGTGAGGTAAGAAAAAAAGTTATATGAAAATTAAGGAGCGCGGTCTCTCTCACTGAAGCTGCAGTGGGGAGGCTTGGTGCCTCACTGGGAAGTGAGGGGCGGCCCACCGCCCCCCCCCCCACCAAGGCCTCTGCAGGTACAATGAAGGTAGCGTGGGAGCTGTTCCTGCCCGCAGCATCACTTAGACCCAGAAGTGGAGTCTTTGGGTGACGTTACTTACATCTCTGGGGAGTTTCAGGGTGGGCCGCCCCACCGGACCCCAAGCACACTATGTAGGTATGAAAATTACTTTCGATGGTCTCTCAATTCCAGCATTGGTGCTTTGGAACAGAAATGATGTAGAATGCTAATAGCTCAGGGCGAAGAGGCTGGCTTCTCCCGGGGATAGCCAGGCGATGGGTCCCTTTGCTGGGAGGGCTTGTCCAGCAAGAGATGACAGGCCCTTTCCGTCCTGGGGTGCAGGCAGTCAGGACCGTTGCTGCTCAGACTGTGAGTGAGTAGAGCTCGGTGCTACTGGGCCCTGGGCCACGACCCTGTTGTCCCCTCTCCACAGGCCCTGGGACACAGCTCTTTGCAAGGTGGGAGAGCCCAGAATAGTACAATCCTGCGTGACCCAGGAACCCGTTGCCTTTAGGTAAACGGCACAGGGGAGCCAAGGAAACCTGCCTGTTGCTTCATCTCTAAGTCCAATCTGATTATTTGGGTAGTTCATTTCATTTGTCTGCAGCAGTAGAAAAACCAATGTGGCAATGCCCTCGGCACACTGAGCAGCTCCCACAGCTACCTGCCAGACACGTGTAGATGTGCCCAGAGTGGAGCTGGTGGGTGGGTGCTCACGGGAAGGCTCCCTCCCTTCCCGGGGAGCACGGGGTGTCAGTGGCCACACAGGTGCACAGAAGTCATGTATTTTAAGGAGGGGTTCAGCACCATAGATGGCACAGCCAACCATCATATTGGGGTTCATGCCACATTCATTCCAGGTATGGGGCCAGCGCACCACACGGCCACCTGATTTTACCCCCACTGCACAGGTGGGTTGACTTTGGGGGGGCAGAGAGTAGGTGACTTCTCAAGAACAGCCCACTGCTAAGTGTCAGAGCGCAGGGAGTGGTGCACAGGTCGTCTTATGTTGAGCAGTCAGGTCAGTGCAGGAACCACACCCCCAAACCTCCAGGCCTTGCCCAAAGGCTCTGCATATCGTTTTCAGTGTCTCTCTGGTGAGGGAGCACTTCCTCTCCCCCTTAGGAACACGGAGCCTGGCTGAGAGATGACAAAGTGGCATTTGCTTAATAACTGTGCCCAGAACAGACCTCACATATAGTTTGTACATACTGGCTTGTCTTAGAATTAGCAGCGAATATTGTGTAACACGGTTGTACAGCTTGCTGGCAGCACTGCAAACATTCCCACCCACTGCATCAGGCGCTGGCTGTGCTTTGCTGGGAAATGCTGGTGAGGGACTGACGCAGGCAACACTGCTGATGTGCTGGGAGAGACTCAAAACAAGGCCCTGGATGGCCAGAGGGTGCCTCATGCCAGGGGAAAAGGCTCTCCTCGGGCTCCCAGGCTGGGATCTGTCACCGGGAGTTGGAGGGGGGATGGCATTTTCATGTGTCACTCTGGGGAAACAGCCCACCCGTCTTCAGTTGGTGTTCTCAGGTGTATGCAAGAACTCCAAGATGGTCCTTGGGAGACTGAGAGGTTTGCTTCTAGCAGGGAGCCAATGATAGAATTCTGAGTTATCACAGATCTTGTTTTCAGCCTGTGAGAAAGGTGATCACTGTGTCCATTTCCCAGCTGAGACAGCGAGGCACGGTCAGACGCAGACTTCGCTTGAGTCCACCCCACCCTCAGCCTGATGCTCCACTGTTCGCAGAGCTGCTTCCCACGTTCCGGGCAGGGGAGGAAGTGAGTACTCTGTTTTGCCCTTCTAGTTAACTTTCCTTAAACAGCCCTTGGGACTTTTTAGTGTTTTTAGAACTGAACAAAAATGCTTGGTGTCAGCTAGCTTCCTGTTGACATGGAGACCGTCCTAATACATAGGTGAAGGCCTGGCTTGCTCTGTGACACCCCACATACCAAGCCTTGTGGCCTCCTGCACATTTGAGCAGTTACTGATGTGACAACACTATGAGGCTACTGCTGATAGGACTCTGGGACTTTCGTGTAGGCATCAAAATCTGAGGGCATTTCCTAGCTTGTAGTCTTATAGAAAGAATACTGCTGGAGAAGAATGAGTTGATTTATGTAGAAAAGTTTATTAAAAGTATTGACATTTCTCTGACCTTCAACAGCGCCCATGTGTCCTTGGGAAGTAACCTGGCTTTGCTTTTTCATCTTGAACCTGCTTTCTGGGAACTTCATGGGCAGTCACACACCACTGTAGCCGAGATGGGGCACTCGACGAGGTTACCCTGGGCCCCTGTAGCCTAGGAGAGCAGAATCTCATTGACAGCACACTAGAATTTGTTGATCAGTTCATGGGCTAGTGCAGGTAGGTGTTCCTCCTCCAGGAGGTGATTCAGGGACTGAGGCTTCTATTTTGTGGTCCCACCATCTCTGTTAGAAGAGAGGGAGGGAGTATAGGAGAGCAGAAGGTTGCTTCTGGGTCACTTTTCAGAGGCAGAGAGGGAAATCTCATCTGTCTACCTTCCACTCACAAGGAAAATGTAGACCCAATAAGTCACTAAATTTACAGCAAGTGCCCTGGGTTTTGCTGAATAGCAGATGAGCTGGAGTGGCCTGTGGAGAGCTGAAAGGAATTTGTCACTTTGGGATCAGTGAAGAAACAAAGATTCAGAAGGCAGGTTGGAGGTTTCGTCACCCAGGGATGGATGTGAGCCCCAGGGATAGATGTGCAGTGGGTGCTGTTATGAATGCTGGCTGAGTGAGGAATGAGTGTGCATGCATAACCTGTATTCTTCAGTGTGGCTAGATCAGTCTTTAATATTTTAATGTGTGAGGATCATCTTTCTTGACCTGACAGAAAAAAAATGACCTGCCATTCCTGGGCACACATCAGATCCTGTATAGAGCCCAACAACCCCTCTGCAAGTGTGAACTCCTTGAAGCAGGTATGTTTCCACTATATTCATAACTCCAACCCCTTCTACCACCTGACTTTTCCTGCTAGAGACGGGCTGTTTTCCCATGGGAAGTTTACCCTGTGTCAGACACATTACCTGAAAATGAAGCTATTGGTTCTGTGCTGCTATATTAGCAAGTGATAAATACGAATGGGAAGTAGCGTCAAATAGTGGGGAAAATAGAGGTTCGGGGGCTAGACAACCTGGGTTAGAACCTGCTTCTGCCATTCATATTTTTGGTAGAGATCCTATGACTAAAAGGAAATGCTCTAAAAAACGCAGGGACAGCCTGCCTGCTGAGGTGGCATTCTTGGGAGCGGAGGTATGCAGGAGGGGAGACCAGCCCAGCTCAGTGATTCTCACCAAGGACCTGTGGTGGTTGGTGAGTAACAAAAACGAGAACCTGGATCTTCTGTTCTGTAAATTGAAGGAAAAACTTGCAGGAGACAAGCCCTATCATAAGTATGCATAATTCATACGTTAGGCACAGTAAGAGATTAACACTGGGAAATTTCAACAATCTACTCAAAGAAGTTATGTGAGCATGACCTGACTTGCTCTCCAAAGGTCTTACTGTGTTTGCAGAGCATGGCTGACCCAGGTAACTGAAACCACAGATGGGGGGGTGGGGATGGGTATGCAATGAATTGGCAAAGTTGGGGCTATCTAAGTGAAAAATGCTACCAAAGTCTCGACTGTGCTCGATTCTTCCAACAACAAATAAATTTATAACTTTTTTTACAAGTTAGCACAGGGCACCATGCTTATTATGCCAGTGCCAAATGTCACAAGTATGAAGAAAGCTTTCACTGGTTGAGTCATCAAATATTTGCTACACGAATGGCTGAATGCATGGCTCCTTCACTTCAGACTTAGCCCATCCTTTGTTCCCAGGCCTTGTTAGAATCACCTGTTTTCTACATTCCTAGCAGGTCTGGCGACATCGTGGACAGCCTTCAGTTTAAGGTGCCTCTTCAGATACAAGTTCCAGAGCTAAACATGATCTCCCATGTCTAACCGAGTGACCCACTGGGATCAGGCTTTGTGATAAGCAGTCACTGAAAACAAAAATACTGTTGTTCTGGAAGGTCAGTGCTCACAGCTGTCAGTTTCCATCAAAGGCATACCCTAGGGGACTACTGAGAAGTAAGGGGTACAGGTTAGCCATTTTTGTGGGATGCTCGGTCAGACCTTTGCCTCAGTGGACATTGTGGGCATGGCCTCAGGCTCGGGGCCTATCAAAAGGGCCAGCGAGCAGGGAACCCAGCCAGCTAGTTGGAGCACATGACATCAGACCTCTCCCGAGGTGGACAGGAAGCTTTGCTAGAAAGCAGGCAGGACTTGGCTCTTAGGGATTGGAGTCAGTGAGCTTTAACTCCTTGGCTAACAGCCACCAGCAAGCAGCTCTCATATGGCCTGCAAATATTTTCGATCCAAAGCCTCAGGCTTCTGCTTACATGTTGCTATCACAGGCTTTTTTTTAGGATGCCGGGTTAGAAAAAGTAAAAAAAAAAATCTGACATTTAAAAAAAGCTCAATAAGTTTTCTCATTTTAAAGTGGGGTAAGGGGAACAATGTTGTCTTTGTAGGGGGGAACTGTAAACCCTGAATTAGATTGTCCAAAAATAGGGTTGCCATCTACTACTTTCCTGTGTAAGCTATGTAATGATGTGCAGTGACGGGTATGCTGGCGCCCCCTACTAAATGGATAAAGGAAACCCCCAATGTTAGCTTCTCAGCTAACTTCAGGTCACCTTTGCAGCCAAGGAGTGTGATCTCAAAAGCGCTCAGATAATTTCCAGCTCCCTCGTGCAGAGGCGCGACTCAGATGCTGACTCAACAGAAGCCTCATTCACAGGCTCTCTCAGCCTCCCCTCTGAACACTCGAGTCTGAGTCTTGGGGTGGAGATTAAGCTGGAGCAAGGATGGAGCACCTGTGGGTGAGTCCTACCTCATTTTCCTTGTATCTGAAAAGAATTGGAGCTATTAGTAAGTCATCCTACATAGTTATTAACCAAAACTCAGGAGAGAGAAGATCCAAGCCACTGTTTTTCCCACTGGAATCTCAACAATTTCAGGGCACCAGCGAGCTGAGTGCCAGCTGAGAAGACCCCGGAAGGAATGTTCTAGTAAAGTGCTCTAGTGTGACCTCTGTGTAGTAGTCTAAATTCTGTATACTTTTTTCTTTTGGGAAAACTGAGCTAGCTGTACTATTTGATCCCTACCATGAAGGGGTGCTCAAGAAACCCATGAAGTATTTATGCGGTGCTTTAAATTTCAGAGGCCGCGATGTTCCAGTCCATGACCATCAGAGACCGTTCCAGCCTCCCGTGCTGCAGACCGGCTCTCCAAGCTTCTCTTTACTCCTGACCGGCCCGCTTGTGTGAATCTAACAATGTCACACATGCATTTGCCACCTCTCTTTAACCAGGTGTGTTCCTGAGAATGGAGTGATACATTATTAATGTGGCCGAGGAGGGAGGGGTGTTAGGGGTGGGTGTCTAAGAGGTGTTAGGCAACAGGGAGGCGTGAAGGGAGGTGAGTAGGAGTCGACAGTGCCCCCTGGAGCCCAAGCTGTCAGCCTGCGGGGGGACAGCCATCCTCCCTGCCAGGTGAAACAGACTCACAGGCCAGAGAGCTGTGCCAAGGTGCTCCCAGTGACAGGAGATGGTGGGGTGCAAGGCTGTTCACTTGGCACCCTTCACCAGCACTGAGGTCACTGCAAAACATTCCTCCATTCCTATGTGCATTGCTTCATGAAGATGCTCGATAGGAATGGAGCCAGGGTGGTGGGAGCAGAGATCCCACACAGAGGAGCAGGCCCTGCACCCCCATGCACACCCCAGCCACAATGAAGCAGGCAGCTTCTATTTACATTCAACTCAAAATGTCTTGCCGCCTAGCCCTACCGGCACCTCTCCCTCTGAGGAAGTGACACAGTAGCAGGCCACCGCTGTCCACCTTGACAGCATTCATGTCATACTACACAGCCAGGTACTGCAGTCATACAAAATCCAAAGAATGGAGACACTTGACAACATCCCCCCTCCCCCAAGGTAGCTAAATTTCGTCCTAGCATGCTGGAGTTCCCTGTCGGAACGTCACCAACTCCCAGCTCTTTGGGGGAAGGAAAGTGCGTTTTCACAGCCTATAGTTCTCAAAGAAGTAGCTTCTATGTGTGTGCAGATCAACAGAAAAGGAACACAAGATTCTGAGACCGCTCGGGCCTCCAGCCCTTCAGAACCAGACCCGGCGCTTCAGAAAAGGGCGGGGAGTTCGGTTAGTCCACAGGGGCCAAGGAGGAAACACTGAAGTCAAGAGGAAAACCATCAAGAACTAGAACACTGAAGACTCAAGTACGTTTTCTACTCTACTGTGAAGCTGAATTACAGCTTTGCGTATCTGGAAAAGAAACGGGGTTGATCGCCAGGTGGAGACTCCCCCGCCTGCTCCCGCAGCTCCAGGTGAGTGTGCAGGCTGCGCTGGCTCAGTCTCCTTCTCTTTGCGTGTGGCCTGGCCTTTTTTGTGATAACATGAGGTATAATTCAACACTAACAATGCCTGTTCCTTCTGGGCTAGGGCTGGATCAACCGTGTGGGCCGAAAACAGTTCCACTTTCTGGTAAGTTCACACATACGTACAAAAAGCATTGCACTTAAAAGCAAGGAGAGTCAACTCAGCCCAACCTGCCCAGGGGTGGGGGGGTGCCGCAGGGGGGCTCCCCTATACCAGTCTGCTGTTCGATTGAATTTGGTCCGTGATTAAATGTCCCGAAGACACTGCAGGCTCTTTAAGGCTGTCTTCCCAGTGCTTCTGTGAGAGAAATGATCACCACCATGGCCACGTACCGCAAAGCAGGGGCTCTTTAGCGAAAGGGCTAGCAGAGCCCTCCCCCCAAAAAAACTCTGGAAGCAAGGGAGGCTAGGTGCACGCCATGTCCTGTGAAGGAGAGAGACAGCCGGTCAGCATCCCGGGAGAACAGCCCTACTCAGCTCTCGATAAGTGCCCTCACATAGTACGTGCCATTGAGGCATGTCTAACTTTATCCTGACATTGCTGTTGAGACTGTCCTCCTTGGAGTGATTACTCCAGCTCACATGGAGTTTGTAATCCCTGTGTGCACCTTGTCATCAGGGAAACAGCCACCCAGAATAGCTAGAGAAATACCGTGATATCGTAGGCGGAGATCCAGGCTCAGAAGAGTTTTAGTTCTGGCATCACCCACTTACCCAGGTAAGCCCTAGGCTCGCCAGGCGTCTCCTCCCGCCCCGACTACCTCTGGGGTCAGAGCCAACAGGTGCGGCCGTGCGAGGTACTTACTGCTGCGGCCCTGGGCTAGGACTTGCTGACATTCTCGTAGATGACATCGCTGATGCAGAACTGCTGCTTCTTCTTCACCCACATCAGCTGCACGCACTGATGGATGAAGATGTACTGCTCCTGTGGTCAAGACAGACACAGTTCAAAGCAGATCTGTGAGCACCAACCTGTAACGTTTATACTACAGCAGAATTCAATACTGTGACCTGATGTCAAAGAACACAGTTTTCAGTGAGATATTTTTCAAGATCCAAGCATTAGAATATTTTGGACAAGAGGAGTTCATGAACATTCAATCAGTAAATCATGGAGCCACTTTGAAAAGAGTAATGCATCCCCTAATCACCAAAATAAATTCCAGAAAATTAATAAAATAAGCCATACAATAGAGGTAAGTATAAACTCCTCTTTGATTATACTTTGGAAGGACTTTGGACATGGGAAAGCAGAAGGGACAAATTAGAGAGAAAGATGTAGCATATGCGTTCACCCATGTGCTAGAGAAATGGGTGACTGGACAAGGGGCGGGGGCGTTGGTTAGGAAAGTGGGTGAAGGGTGGAACTGGACTTTAGGCAGCCGCAGGATGCTCTGTGCTCGGTTGTTTCTGCATGAGTCTGAGGGCCTGAAACTCTTCAGTGTTAGGAAGCACTGTTACTGCCCTTGCTTGTAAAAAAGAATCCAAGCTACTGTTCAAGTAACAATAAACGATGAACCTTACATTGAAGAAAAATACTTCCTAGGATTATGGCCTATTGTGGACACCTTGCTTACAGTTCCTCCAAATCAGAATGAAATTGACAAAGTACTGTCCCAAAGGCAGGAAGTATACTTAGTTTGTATTATAGTAAATTTTTTTTGACATTGAGGAAATATGCAAAAAATGACCCAAGTGACCAAAAATTGTCAATTGAAACACTTTTTCATCTTTGAACAATATTCAGGGATGCCTTGGGCTTCTTGAAGATTGTTTTTCTCTCTTAGTGGAAGTATAGTTAATAGTAAAAAATTTCAAAAGCACCCAGTGTCACATTCTAGAAATAGTTTAAGTAAAGGTAAAGTCATGACTGTACTCAGGCTTTTCAGTGAGCGTTGCAGGGGCGCAGACCGTGTGTGATACCACACATAGCGGAGTAAAGTGAAAACGGAAATGTAGTAGAAACCTGTGTGTCTGCATCTGAGTGCAGTCGTGTCCCAGGGAGACCCACATGAGGGCGGAGATGAGATGATGCATCTCATGGGCAAGGAGCAGTCTGCACCGTTGCTGTCAAGGTAATTTCATGACCTTTCTCCTGCTAGTCTAGGGTTTGTAAGTACCACCCTTTTAATGAGAGCCAGTCAGAACAAGCATAGCATTTTAAGGACCCTTTTGTAGGACTGTATACCTCATGGGATTGATGTGTCAACATCCATGTTTCAACAGTTGGGGAAAATGCCTCCCTTGTTTTGCGATAGTGTCACACCAGTAACCGTCAGGACTCTGCTGTGTCCAGCCCAGAGCATCAAGGCCAGAGACGCTGGTGTCTAGCCCCTAACTAGGCTGCCATAAAGGTAAGGGATCTTGACACTCTTTCAGTCTAAGCTGCTGACCAGAGCACTGAGTGCTGGAAAATCAAACAAAACATATGATAAACAGTGAGTAGATGGCATCACTGCCCTGGCTTCTCTGACACTGCAGGACACCTATCGAGAAGCTATCATTCATAGACTGTCCACATACAGCACTCGGAAACCTGGGAGTCCCCTTCTATAGCCTGGAAACGGGAGCTTTGTGGTAGCCAGGCCTGGCCTCCCTCCCCCACCTCTTGAGCCCACAAGGTGTGTCTGGTCTGGTGAGGAAGGAGAAGGGGTGTGTCCAAACAGCCCCCACACCAGGTGCAGGCCCAAGCTCGCACTTTCCCAGGGTGGGAGGGTGCGTCCTGGATGGGTGATGGGCTGTCCAGAACAGGAGACGCTTAGCACCGGCCAAGGGGGACCTGTCCATGGACCTGGGACTTACATGGACACACACAAAGCAGATGGAGAATGACTTTGGCTTCTTGAAAACCTTTATAGTGCCAAAGGATGATGAAGCTGAAAAATTTTTTCTCCTGTTCTTCATTATAGTGTGGGGGGAGATGGCAGTCTTCACAATCAAGCTACAAGGTCAACCATGAAGAGGACAGGAAGGAGGACAAATCAAAGTAAATGGACAAGATGTTCCATTTACAAAACAGACATAAATAACTAACTAGAACTACAGAACATCCACTACAAAGTGTGGTGGAGGAACTCAAGAGCTGGAAATAGTTGAGAAAAATAAGTAACTTGTGACCTCCGCCTCCTTAACTGACAGATTTTCCCATGGGAGTTTTGGGCAGGGCTATCCTACTGAAGACTCTGGATCGGGCAACCTAAAATGCACCATAAATAGAGAAGTGAAGCTAACAGAATGTGGGGTAAGACAGTTGAGGAGAAGGAGCATTTTGTTGGCTTTGCAGAGAGCTGCATGGTGGCCACTCAGGTTTTGTGCTAGTCCCACAGCTGAAGCAAGAGAATGGAGCAGAGCACTGGGCCAGGGTCTGCCACAGGAAGGCAGTTTTTAAAAAGGGATTAGGATTCTGTTGGGAAAGAGCAAGAAGGCTATAATCAAAATCTGTAAAGTTCTAAAAGGTATAAATTAAGTCAGTGAGGCAAACAATTCATCAAATCCAAAATATTTAAGCTAAGGCGTGGCCCTTTGAAGCCTGGGGATTAATTTACATAATGGAGAGTTTAATCACATATTAGGATGTAAATTTATGGAAGTACAAGCCAAAAATAGGGACCTATTCATATATACTGTTTAATGGCTAGGTAGTAGGCTTCTCTGGGAAACCAAGGCATTTTACAGGACTGATAACAAGGTAATGCTCACGTCCCACAGCAGAAATTAGAGGGTGGCAGAACCAGGGTGTGAACAGGCCCAAGAATGTGAGAAAACAAAATACATGACTTGTTTCCTAATCACCAATGAGACATCTGAATGTGGATGGATTGTTCTTTCCAAACTCGTGTGATACTGCTATGTCTCAGAATAAACCCCGTGAAACCACTGTGTGAAGCCTTGGTCAGATGGGGATGGGAAGGGAAAAGCAGAAAGGGTGGGAAAAGGAGAAAACGAAATGTAGGAATCAGGCAGCCTGGCTGCCGGCTTTTTGAGTCAGACTGACACCTAGTGGTGCGGGATGGGAAGAGCAGGAAGCCCAAGGCCCTTTTTAATCTTTTGGAGATTTAGCAGGGCAACAGGTGGAATTCTAGCCACAAGCTTCCGCCCACACACACTCCTTAAGAAAAGGATTGTTGTTCACCTGGGGAGAAGTCTCAGTGTGGCTGGGTGACTAGGATTAGACACGAGCTATCGTGTGTAGGTCTGGGCCCTCCTGGCTCACATCCACACCAGGAGTGAGCTGCTGGGTGACCTGGGCTGCCAGTCCAGCCTCAGGGCATCTCAAGGCTTTTAGGAGAAGGGGAGGAAGTGGGATTGGACACTTCTAGAGGTGGCACAACAGAAGAGCATCCCAGCTAATATCAGCTGTGGGGGGTTGGGAGGCTTTGGAAATCCTTAAAGTCAGGGTGACAGAAAGCAAAACATCGACCCATCAGAAATGAACTGTGTTCTCAGATCATCCATTGATTTTCCCGTCCTCTGCTTCTTCCACAGACTCACCTCTCATTTCCCCAAGTGAGCAAATGCAGTCATCAAAAGCTACTTAAAACACTTTATTCAATGGACCGCCCCTCGACACCCCAGGTAGATGGCACGCACCCTCTGCACTGCACTGGGGGTGCCTGGCTCCCCCCGCTTTTAGAGGCAGCTAATTTCTCCTTGTCTTCCCAGTGCCTATTATTTTTGCCACAGAAAAGTTTAGGTGCCTTTTGGCAGCAACAGAACATTTGTCAGTAGATGAAATGAATTGGGACAGAATCCCATGGATGACAAATGACAGACATATGAAATCTGGCACTGCAAATCTGAGCTTAGTCCCCTGGGTTCCCGCCTCCACTGGTGCTTGACCAAGGCAGACTGCTGCCTTCCCTGAACTCTCAGTCTGTCCAAAGAGGTTTTATTCTGTTACAGCTACACCCGCGTGTCCTGCATGACTAAAGGGTTAGTAGTGCCCACGGAGGAGCAAGAATACACGCTACACGGATTTCGCTACACGGATTTCTAGATGCAAGGGTTTACTTCTTTTCAATGCCTTGAAACAGTCTGCACATGCACAGTGAGGAACTAGGAACAGCAAAGGCAAAACACTGAAATTGTTTTAAGTAGATTTTGATGACTAGGTTTGCTCTGCAAAACTGTTTTGAAACCCGACACCGAACGACAGGACAAATTAGAAACCGCCTTCTGATCTCATTCCTACCTCTGTCTGTACCATCGACATCCGGTACGACCGCATTTCCGACACCAGCCCCAAGATGTCCACGAACTCGTGATCCCGAATGTGCTGCAGGAGCCGGTCCAGGGCGATGAAGGTCCCGGTGCGCCCCACCCCCGCGCTGCGAGAGAGCACAGACAGCGGTCACTCAGCGGCCCAGGGCGTGGGGCTTCCGCTGGCCCTTAAGTCACTGGTGACTCCACTAGGGAAACAGGAGACAAGACTCCCCATCACCACGGGGACTCCACTCACCTGCTTTCTGTGTGTCACTTTATTGCACTTCACAGATATGAACTCTCATGTCTCTGGCCTGTGCTCACTTTTTTGTTTTAGCAATAAAATATTTTTGCCTATGTACGTGTTTTCTTTGAGCCATATGCTGCTGCTGACTTTAGACAATGGTAGAATGCAAATGTAGCTTTTATATGCACCAGGCAACCAACAAATGTGAGTGTCTCACTTTATTGCTTCATTTGAAAGGTCTCTGGGTAACAGAAGTAGCCCCAGGACCTGTCAGAGGGCAGATGTGCTGGAAGTTTGGGGTGCTGACTCCGTAAAGAGCCACTGCCCCAGAGCTACAGCTGGGAAGTGGGTGTGAGGCTTTAGTGCCGAGCAGCTCACAACACAGGGCCTCTCCCCAGCAAGCTCACCCAGGAATCACAACTTTCCTCAGGAAGCAGAGCAGAGTCAAGGAGGAGGACCAGCGTGCAGAGCCTCCCCAGGGACAGTCAGAAGGTGACACTGGGAGAAACCAGCCACACCACACACATCAGCTCACAGATGCTGGTTTGCATTCTCACTGCCACAGGGACTTACCTTCTCAGATAAAGGCTGTTGCTCCCAATGGACACCTATAAAGCCATGTCCACAATGTGCCTGCCACTCACTGTGAAGGGAACCCACCAGTCTGACCTCATATACAAGCAGCTTTATCCTCTGCTCTTGAAAGAGCCATTCTGATGCCAGGTAATTCCATCTGCCAGCCTAGGTCTTAACCTGTGACAGCTTAGGGGGTGCTGGCAGCAAGGATGGGCCCTAACCAGAAACCTGGTGGCAGCATAGGGAGCACTTTCCAGGGAGACACATACCCGCCTTCCGCTCCCCAACACCATTTCCCTGTCTATGCGCCTTTTCTTAGGCTGCGGGGGGGCGCCCAGTGCCTCCTGCACATGCTTCACCTGCTTCTGCCTCTGGTCCACAGGAGGCCGATTTTCCACCCGTTCTTTTAGGTTGCATACCAATTTTAAACAATATTAGGTCATGCTGGTGGATTTTGATGGGACCTCTGTTCCCTTGGTGGGAAGGAAAGCTTACATTGAAAGATAACTTCCCACTAGGAGTCCGTGTGCTTCTCTTTCCCCTTTGCTCTGGCAACTTAGAGACTATCTTGAAGGAGACAAGCCAATAGGTTTATCCTAATGAGTGAAATATTTGCATTTTTCTGTTTCTTTATATTTATCTCTGCTCTTACTGTGGCTATCTTTTTAATCTCCTTCTGTTCTGCCCTGTTACACAGCGCTCAGCATCCTAGGGAGGACAGGGTGGGAAGATGCTGAAAGGCCTGGCCTTTAGGGTCAAGCCTAACTCCTCCCCCTTCTAGTTGCACGAACTTGTGTGCATTCCTTCCTACTTCTCCATTTTTTCTCATCTGAAAATGGGAATAATATCTGATATATATGGTAACCGTTTTATAGTTAGGCCATGTATATCATACAACATCAACTAATCGGATTCTAAAATCATCATTGAGCGCATGGCTAACACAAGCTGCCCAGGGGCTTATGTACAACTGGCTGTTTTCTTTGTGAATCAGTCCCGTGGGGTCAGTGGGCAGGCACTGGGCGAGCTTACCTGCAGTGCACGATCATGGGGCCTTTGCTCTTGGTGGCTTGTTGTCGGACCACGTGGACGAACTGCAGGATACTTTCTGCAGCATTTGCTGTGGGCACGCCGTGATCAGGCCATGAGGTGTAGTTTAAGTGCATCACATCCTGTGTCTCATCAGCCTTGAGGAGAAAACCCAAAACAACTGTGCATCTCTCAGATGAATACACTAACCCTGGCTACATATGAAGCAGAGTGCCAGCAGATTCAGTTTGCCTCAGAGCAGTTAGCCGAGGTATTAAATGCTATGGCAGATGCAGTGGGGGGGCCCTTGGGTGCCCTCTGCCACAGTTGCTGTTGCTAGGAACACACGATGCACCTTTCTCATAGCTGTTCTCCACAGAAAGAAGCTGCCTCACTGACATGACTCAGAGTTGTGTGCTCTCACTGAGGGTGACATCCAGTGACCAGATGGTGCTGGGGTATACCAGCCTCCCCAGGGTACCCATTTATGCCTTGGCCAGAAGTGACCTTCAACCAAGTCCACAGCCATGTGTAGCTTCTTCCCTGACCTTCTTCCCTATCCTGTTTCTCTTGTTGCTCACAGCTTTCTGGAGAGAATACTTTCAAAGAGTCACCTGTAGCACCATCCCTGTCTTCAACTTGGATCCTAGGGGACCTGGCCCAAGACAAGTTCACTCAACACCAGTTTTCTCATAGCTAAAGAGAGTCTCGTAATAAGAAATTGCTGGTTGTGGGTCACATGTGACCATGTTCGTGAAGGCGGGGCCACATGGATTTCATCACTGTCACTCCCACATAAAGACACTGTTTTTCAGCTCAGGGTGCCGACCGCCAGCTTCTGGGATCCCCATGAAGCGTGTTAACATTGTCTATTTACCATATCACTATTAATCCAGAGAGTAAACATGTTGTTCTCTCTGAACTGAGTGCAGAAATTTTCCAAACCCAGGACTCACAAAGATCTAATTGATCCCCCACCAAACTTGCCAACAATCTAGAATCCACTCAGCGGATGGACTATTATACCATAACGTGGCAGAGTCTGGCCAGGATCAGGCATGAAAATTCCAAAGAAAGCAGTGGTTTGAGGCTGAGTAAAAATTGTATAAAAATAAATGTCTGGCCCTCCCTGGTGGCGCAGCGGGTTAAAGCGCAGCACTGAGAATCTAAAGCCACTTCCGCATGAGTTCGATTCCTGCTTGCCCGGGAGGTGACCACATGGCGTGGCAGACCTCTCCTGACCCGCCTGCTGCTCCCCTCAGCAGTGTACTTCGTCGATCTGCCTGTTCTGCTCCCCACTCTGTCTCTGGTGAAGCCTCTCACCGCCCCTGAGCCTCTGGGAGCCTCTGGCCTGTACCCCAGTTCTGTATGCACAAATAAATAAATCTTAAAAAAAAAAATAAAAAATAAATGTCTAAAAAATGTCTATAAAAATAAGTCAGTTGGCACTTGGGTCACCCCATCCATCCCTCTGCCACCTAAGGGTGTGTGTGGTGGCCCTCCGGCTGTGTCCACAGCTGGATCTTAGGTCCCCGGGCACGAGTCTGCAGAGGCTCAGACTGCCTTCATGACGGTGTCCCCGAAACAAGGCGAGAGGGTGACCCAGCATAGTCAGATGTGCACGGTGCACTGATTACTCAACCCTGAGGATTAAAGGAGACTCAATGACCAGGTAATTGGTTTGCTCAGAAAAGTTCACGAACATCCTCATTTCGTTGAATGCTAAGTGTGGGCAGCACCTGGGTATCAGCCTCCCCCTCCCCCAGCGCAGGCAGAGCTGCCCTAGCCCCGGGTCACCACGGCCAGCTGCACAGTGGCACAGAAACCACCGTTGTGCTGGTGTTTAGTCCCCGGTTCTTAACTCCCAGTTTCGTGTACTGGCAAGTAACAGATGGTGTCTTAGTCATTTTCCTTTTCCTTGTTTAATGAGAAAACCCTCCTGGCTACTTCTTACTTGGAAACTACTTCCGTATTTCTTTCCCTGATTTCCTCATTTACATCGAGCTTGTAACACCTGTACTCTGCAACTTTCCACATATAGAGGGAATCTGTATAAAGGAAAATGAATTATGGAAATATTAGCACAATATATAACCTTTAGCCATTTAACCTTCCCTGCAGAAGGTTAAAAAGTAGATTCTGTATGTTTATTCCCCAAAGGGAGACTGCGGCCAATTGTCAGTGCTATATACACACTTGATAAGCCTTCCAGATGGCTGTCATTCAAACAGGTCATTGTGAAGACCCAGGATGTACTCAATGAAGTATTATAAATAAATGATAAAAGCAAGAAATGAAACGACCCGAGTCC